CCAGCCTAGGCAACTGCTCCAAGTCCAGGGAGAAGCAGAACAGTCTCTGGATGGCCTAGTCTCCCTCGGTTCAGACCTGCCAGCTCCACTGTCACTCTCTGGCCTTGGGTGGAGTCATGCCACCCAGCAGGTCCCACATGGACTCATCCATCACTCTTCCCTTCAGACCCAGAGCTCAAATGACACCCCTGCCACACAGAGTGCAGATACCAAATCCAAGGAACCTCCCACTCCTGTTCCCAGAGGGATCCCTCCTCCCTGCAGCCCCCACCCCCACCAGAGTCCCCTGGCCTCTCAGCTGGGCCCTGGACCAACTCTCTGTGCCACAATTCCTCTACCCCGGGGGAAGCACCCCACATCCCACAGCCCCAAGCCAGTCAACACCCCACTGTCCTCCCAGGCAGAGGTTATCACCTGCTCCTTGGTGTTGACAGGTCTTCTGACTTTTGTGTCCTGCGAATTCCACTGTCCAAACTCACCAGCTTCCCAAGATCCCTCTCCTGCCAGTGTCCAAGTTCACACAACTCCTTCACTGCCAGGCCAGCTCCTGCAGCCCTCTCTCCAGCCAGCTTGGGCCCATCCTTCCACCCCATCATGTCATCGCCTCTCCACCACCCACCCACCCAACTCCCCTGGAGGGTGAGACCCTTTCTAAAGCTCTGGGAATGATACTCCCTCCTGCAGGGCATCACCACCTCTGCCTTACCCAGAGCAGGCCAATCAGCACTCCCATCCAGCCCTCCCAGCCAGGCTCCAACTGACCCCCTTCAGATTCCCATTCATCCCTCCCCACAAACTTCTGCCTTTCCCAAACTGTTCACGATGCCAGGCATGGGGGGGCGGGGTACACGTTTAATCCCAGCAACTCAGGCAGCTGAGGCTGGAGTTTCATAAGTTCCAGGTCAGTCACACCAATTCTCTTAAAAGATGAAGCTGGACATGGTGGCGCATGCTTGTGATCCCAGCAGCTAGGCAGGCTGAGGTAAGGCGATGGTGAGTTCAAAGCCAGCCTCAGCAACTTAGTGAGTTCCTAGGGAACTCAGTGAGACCCTGTCTCTAAATATTTAAACAAAGGCTGGGGACATGGCTCAGTGGTTGAGTGCCCCTGGGTTCAATCCCCAGTACCAAAAAGTTAAAAAAAAAAAAAAAAGAAAAGAAAGAAAAGAAAAAAGAACTGGGATGTAGCTCAGTGGTAAAGCATCTCTGGGTTCAATTCCCAGCACCAAAAATCAAAAGGAAACAACTAACAAAACAAAACAAAACAAAACCACCCTGCCATTGAGAAAACAAACACCAAACACCAAGCTGCCTGGATAACAGCTGCTACTTATGTGACAGGAATTCCCAAGGACTGTCTAGTTGATCTTCACAGCTAGCACCTCCATTTGCAGAGAAAGAAAAAGGAGGCTGAGAGAGGAAAAGCTGCTTCCTCAAAGCTGAACCTTTTCTGAGAACCTACAGACCAGAGGCATAATCCCCACCCGTGTCCAACTCCCAGGAGCCCTCACCGACCCTCCAGCCCACAAATCTGCCGCCATCTTTACACATGTCCTGGAAGTTTCTGAAGCCTCAACTAGGCCCCTCCCTAGCCAACTCCACTCTATTGGCACCTACGCAGGCAGAAGTTGCATTAATAACAACTATATGCTTGCCTAGCATGTGTGAGGCTCTGGGTTTTACCACCCCCCCCCAACACTGCCCCCGGTGCCACAAGGAACAAACCAGTAACACCAAAAAACAAGACAACCACCACAATAACTGCAATTTCAGGAAGACTTAGCCTGGACAATCATTTTGCATATGTGATCTCATCTTGTCTTCTCCCAAACCCTGCGCCACAGGTGTTGCTGCCCACATTCCAAATGGAAAAAGTGAGGCTCATGAGAGTTGGGTAATCTCCCCAAAGTCATGAAGCTGGCACACAGAAAGGTCAGGATTTGCCCCACAGCCTCTGCTTTAACCATCCTGCTCTCCTCTCCAGGCCGTTCCCTTCCCACTCTGAACTCCCTGGACTGACTATCATGCAACAGCCAGGGCTCATTCTCACTCCTCCTTCCCCAGTCCCAGGCTCCCAAGCCCTCCAACCCCACACTGCTCCACTAGCCCTGGTGTCTGGAGCCCAAAATTTGGCTGGGTCTCAACACCAAGAGTCTTAAATTAACCATCATCTCTGACAATAACTAGACAAACTGGCATTTATGGCAGGCTCCCTGTGTGTTCAGTTTCCAGTGACCAAGTGTCCCACCCCTACATCAAAGCCACCAATTCCTCCAATGCCCACAGACTGACTACAGTGCCTCTCCTTTCCTCAGGCCAGCAGACCAATGTCTACAGAAGCAAGGCCAGTCAGGTCCCTCTCTTCACAGGCCACACCCCAGTAAAACCGACTTCTCCAGTGAAGAAGCAGGCTGAAAGGGGCTGTCCAAGTCCCCATCCCTGTGGGTCCAATGTATGTGTCCAGCTGCCCTTTCAGCCCAACCTTCTCCTAGCATCCAGGGACCTGGCCCTCTCCTAACCCCCACAGGCCACCAGACTTCAATGCTCTCGAAGCCTACTCACGAGTGATTCCAACTCCTAACTTCATAACATCCCCAACTCGTTCCCAAAAGGAAAACCAGATCCTTCTAGACCAGGCCCCAGCTTCCTCTGTTCCTGAACGACAAACAATCCTCTGCTTCCCTTTTTGGGGGGAGGAGAAGGTGACATGCAGTGGCTTTTCTTCTGAATTCCTAACACTGCCTCTGACTATTCATCCCACCAGGAAATTTACCTCCACCTCTGCTCTTTGCCCGGGATTCCGCGCCCCCATCCCCGCCCCCCAGTGCCTGGAACTTGTTGGGCAAGTGCCCTGGAGTTCACCCTATTCACTTTCCCCAACTGAAGGATTTACCAGCTCCTCTGCAGCCAAAATCCGGGTTTATTCCTTTCTCCTTTCAACCAGGAAAGTGATCAGCATGAGGACCCCTTGTCTCGAGGCTTATCGACCAACGACTTAATCTCTCGCCATCCCCACGGGCCTATCAAATTCCTCCAACTGCCCTTCCAGGCCGATGCTGACCCACTCTGCTTCCCCCGAAAGCCCTATCCTTCTCTGGGGGGAATTATGAGCTCAATGGTTACCACCCTCCCAGTCTCCTAAATCAACAAACCAAACTTTCTTTAATTTCTTCGTGGTCAATCCTAAAACATTCACCCTCGGCGTCCCGAGGTGGGAGGGGGCAGAAACCCAATTCTTGCCACTTTCCAACCCAACAGCCAACCTAACAGCCTTCATCTCGAAATCTAGTTCCGTCTCTTTAAGTCAACCTTCGGTACAATTTACGGAGCGCCACCTCCGTGCCCGGCCTTCTCCCGCCTGCCGGTCCCCATCCAGCCCGCCCCCGCGCCCTCGCCCTCGCCGTGGCTACCGTGTCTCCAGGGGTCTTTGGGCTCCACCGCTCCGGACACGATATCCTCGTCCGACGGGAACGTAACGCGCTTGGCCGCAGTCTTGAGGCGCCCATCGGCCGGGGGTGATGCGGGACTCGGAGACCCGGCCTTGGCGGGGGCCCCCTCGGCGTCGGCGTCGGTGTCCGCGCCGGGCCCGGGCTGCTCCTCCAGCGGCGGGATCTCCATCGCCGCCGCCTCCTCACGGGGGCCCCGGGGACATGCCCCGGGCCCCGGGCTCGTCTCTCCGGGTCCGCCCGCCGTCCCGGGGCATGGGCTCCGCAGCTGCTTCAGGTGCCTCCTCCGCCCGCTCTCCTTGTCGTCGTAGTCGTCGTCGCCGCCGGGAGCCCAAGCGCGCCTCCGCCGAGCCCCGAGTGCTTTTGCTATTCGCAGTCGCACTTTCGCTAAAGGCCGAGGACCCCCCCGCCGAGCACTCGGAAAGTCAGGAAATCTATTTAGGCCATTTGCAGGAAGAATTGTTTTTGCAGGCAACGTGAAAAAGGGAACAAAGGGCAGAAAAAGCCACGGGGAAAAGAAACGTGAGCAGCGAATCTGCAGAGCCGGAACTGCAGAATACGGGGGGCGGGGCGAGGTGGACGCCGTCTCCAAGAGCAGCGCGCACGCGCGAAACTGAGCCACCCCCGCCCCCCGCCCCGCCTCGGTACAGGTAACTGTGTCCAGGTTCCCGTACATTCGTCACGAGCCCAGGTTATGTGGAAAGGAGGGGAACTGATAGTTATCAAAACAACTGTTTGGCAGGACTCCGCCAACTGATGAGGAGGGAATAAAGGGATGACGCTGAAAATAAAGACACTGAAAGGAAAGGCAGTGGGAGCTGCGCCGAGTATGCGTACGTACAGGCGACGGGCGCTGACAGGAGGGATCCTCTGGAAACGAAGATGCTCCCTTGATAGTCTCTAGCTTTCTATTTGCAGATTGCAGTTTCATCAAAAGCTGTATCTTGGCAGCGTTACATAAAATGTAAGTTACGATATTCAAATAAATATGATTCCATGAGAAGTATTCACAGACCTGACCTAAAACCGGGAGAATAAAATTCCAAAGGCGAGAGATGAATCTGCCGACCCAAACACCTGGAGAGGAAGGTAGATGCCCCGCCCGGCAGAACCTGCGCGAGCTCTAGCCGCGCCCCCAGGCGTCGACTCGGCCCTCGGGATTCGCCTCCGCACTTTCGACAGGCTCTCCCAGCCCACCCAGCGACCCGGGAAGGCGGGGCTGAGACTATAAAAGGGCCTCGGGGCGGAGCGAGCCAGGTTGTTGCCTAGGCAACTAGAGAGCTAGGAGTCGCCAGCGGTGGCGATGTGAACGGAAGGTGGCAGAGAGGTTATCTATTTGTCCCGTACATTGGCAGCAGCCCTTCTTGAGACTGAAAAGGAAACAAAAAGTCCTCTATACTTACTGGAAGGCTTCACTTACTTTCTGAACTTGAAGGGACTAAAAGGACAGTAACTTTTTAAAAAATTCCATCTGCTGAAAGATTTCTAGTGAGAGGGGACTGAATGAAGATGGTAACATGGATGGCCATACCAAATGGAGGAAAGTCAAAGGCCAAATAGAGGAAAGTCAAAGCTTCAGGCTATCTTTTAATCTCCAGCCTCTTCTTAGTGACACCACCACACAAGATCACAGCATCCCCCCCAGTATGGAACAGAAAAGCAAAATCTGAAGCTTGCCATGAGCACCTGTGCAGGACCAAGTGACTCAATAAGAGCCATGCCCGTCGCCTTATAAAGGTCCATCGGGCCCACCCCAAAATTAGGTCCTGAGCCCCCATTCAGGGGGCTCCAGCCATCCCTGGGACCCGGGGTGACACAATCCCTGCACCTTTATCCAAGCTCCTCACCATCTGTATCCAGCCCCACAGGATTCTGCCCTTGGATAACCATTCTAACAACTCCTAAATTTGACTCCATCCCCCATGGAGTACATAGAAAATGAAAAACAGGAGTCAAATTTTCCTGGGATAATTGGTTATTTGGCAGGAGGGGAGCTTTGGGGCGTTATCTTCAGGGTGGTTGAATTCTGCAACCTCTCCAATGCAGTTCATCTTTCTCCAGCCCCCACCCTCCCACCCGGGTCTTCAGGAACTGGCACTGGCCCATATTTCTGTAGAGTCCAGAGTTCTGCAAGGTAGAGCATTCCTTTCAACGAGATCTGGAATTCCTAGGGTTGCAGACTTTTACAACTAGACCCTGGAGGCCTCAAAAATCCAGAGGTGCTTGGTTCAAAATTCCCAGGGAGCTCAGAACTCTGTGGGGTCCACAGTGCCTGGCTCAGGAACATTTGGAGGCCTGCGATACTGTGGCTAAGCCCACAGCAGAAGGGTGACCACAATATTGTCTTCACAGCTTGAAGGTGTATGAAATAATGTCACTACATCGAAGCAGTGCCTCAGCCTGCACACCTATGGGAGTCTGCAGCTGCGACACGTAGAAGTTGGCCACATCCAGGTCAGTGGCTCCAAAGTGGGCAGTCACATGCACACCCTCGTGCAGTGTGAAGCTCACCTGGCGACCCACCATGGCCAGCAGGCTGCGGAGGTAGCGCTCCCGAAGGGCAGCTCGGGCCCGCTGTTCCTGGGATTCTGGAGATTCTTGAAGGATGGGACACTCTTGGATTTCAGTAGCTACGCACTTCAGAGGGGCCCTGCGTCCATCAGGGGCAAAGCCACGACTCAAGCCGTCGGGGCCCCGGGGGAGCCGGAGCACAGGCACAGGAATGGCCAATGGAGTCTGCATTATGCTGGCTGTTGAGTGAAGAACAGGGAAGCCATTAAGTGGGGGTGCAGGGCTTGAAGAGGGGGGCAGACACTGTTCTTCCAGGCATCTCAACCTGTCTAAAACATTGACTCTCCTAAAACCTGGGCCAGTATCCCCTAGCTCTCCGCCTCCTGGGAAATGGCACCACCATTCCCCCAGTGACTTGGGCCAGAATCAAAGTGTCACAGCACAGAAACATAAGCCCCACGAAGGAAGGGACTTTGATCTGCTTTTATCAAAACTTTATCCCAGTTCTAGGCAATAAATATTTGCCAGAATAATGACCCTCAGCCTTCTCTTTCATACACACAAACCACCCAGTCCATCAGGAAATCCTGCTTCCAAAAAGATTCCTGCCTGTGCAGGAGCCAGCTGGAAAGGGTCCCTGCTGGCCAAATCTGGAAGGACTTGAACTTGAACATAATGATAGTTACAGACCACAACTACTGGAAGAAACAGAAACCAGAGTCCATAATAATTATAAATGAACGAATAAAGGGGGAGACAGGAAAGGTCTTCCTTACTACAGAACGTCAAGTAATGAATGTAAGAGGAACAATGTGTTGGAAAAATCATCAATGGATATGAAGATTTATGGATTAAAGTTTGATGAGGAATAGAATATCTGCGTTGTCTTAAAGTACCTCCTCCTAAGATCTTTATTCTCTGTAAAGGGAAAGCAGTAACTTCATAGTGGAGATACCTGACAGACACCCCCTTTATCTGGCGACTGAAGCCAACAGCTCCAGTAATGACACCAAGGACAGAACCACATCTCTGGTATTCATTCCAAAAATGGATTACCAAACTCAAATTGAGAAACATTTTATAACAAACCAACAAAACTAGTCTGGACTAAAAACAAACAAAGTCAAGGTCATAAAAGACAAAGGCTTATAAAACTATATTATGTTCATCACACCCTCCCCCTTCTCAACCCCTCCTCTGCCTCTATCCTGATGCCACCCCAGTCACTTCTCGCCTAGACTACCGCAGTCGGCTCCTCCCTGATTCATCTTCATCCCCCACAGCTGCGCCCCCCACTTGGCCAAAGCACCCTGTTAACACGCCAGGCAGCTCACATCCTCTCCGCTCCAGCCCTCCACCAGCTGCTTTCTCAAAGCCAAAGCCACAGCCCACAAGGCCCTGCCAGCTCAGTGGGCACCACTCTTGTTGTCCCCACTGCCACTGGCCTCCTCACTGGTCCTTGGGCACAAAGCCTGGCTGCCCACAGGGTCTCCTCCTGTCTCTGCTTGGATGTTCTTTCCCTCAGGTGGCTTCAAAGCAGCCACCTTGCTGTTCCCACCGTGGCCCAAAGACCAGGCTCAGCAAGTCCTGCTCCCCCTCTAGTGAGGGTGGAAACACCTTCCCACCAGGCTTGGCGCGTGACCTCAGTCCAGAGACAGTCCCGGCTGGGGATACAGCTCAGTGGTAAAGCCTTGCCTGGCTTATGCGAGGCCCTGGGCTCCATCCCTTGCACAGCAAGTAAATAATAAGAATGATCATGGAGACAGGACTGATGCCTCCTGCACCCTTATCAGGATTTAACAGGCTCCTGCAGATGGGGCCGGGAAACTGCTTCATGGTTCTAGGTCTTGGTCTCCCCGTCTGTAAGCAGGGACTTCCCTTAGAGTTAGCATGGGGACCAAATGACCGAACCCAAGTACGGTGTTCTGCTCAGGCCAGGGACACGTTAAGTGCTGCTGCCATGATGGTAAATGCATGTAGAACAACACTGGCTTTGTGAGCAGGAGACTGAGAGGAGGACAGAGGCTCATCTGTAGTTTAGTCCCTTGCCCTTAAAAACCTAGTGACTGACGGAGGAGACTGACAAGGACTGGGCACCCAGTACCCCAGGGGGAGGTGATTCCAATGATGCTAAGTTTATATAATTTTCATGCATCAAAAATGTTATATTGGGCTGGGGATGTGGCTCAAGCGGTAGCGCGCTCGCCTGTCATGCGTGCGGCCCGGGTTCGATCCTCAGCACCACATACAAACAAAGATGTTGTGTCCACCGAGAACTAAAAAAATAAATAAATATTTAAAAAAAAAAAAATGTTATATTGGGTTGGGTTTGTGGCTCAGTGGTAGAGTGCTTGCCTAGCATGTGTGAGGCACTGGGTTCGATTCTCAGCACCACAATTAAATAAATAAAATAAAGACCCATTGACAACTAAATTAAAATAAATAGCAATAAAGGTATTGTGTCCATCTTCAACTAAAAAAAAAAAAAAGTCTACTAAAAAATTGTTTTGCTGCCAGGTGTGGTGGCACAAAGCTATAATCTCAGTGGCTCAGGAGGCTGAGGCAGGAGGATCACAAATTCAAAATCAGCCTCAGCAACTTAGTGAGGCCCTGAGCAACTCAGTGAGACCCTTTCTCTCACTGTTATACAAAGCGCCTGAGTGTACCTATCTACCCACAAGTTGCCTGTCCCACCAACATAAAGCTCAGAGGCGGTGACAGGTCTGAATACTTCACAACTGCATCCCACTAGTTAGTGGGGACTGGCTGACCAGGTGTAAGGTAGGAGGGATTATTCAGTAAATATTTTTTGAAGACTTGCAAAGATTCATACACCCAAATATTTTTAAAAGGGCTGGGAATGTGGCTCAGTAGTTAAGCATCCTTAGGTTCAATCCCTGGTACAAAAAAAAAGCTTTTCTAGACTAGGGATGTGGCTCAGTGGTAGAGCGCTTTCCTGGAATGCGCAAGGCTCCGGTTTCAAGCCCCAGTGCCACAAAACTAAATGAGGAAAGAAAAAAATGCTCAGTATGAAGGTGCACACCTATAACCTCAGCTACTGGAGGCCAAGGCAGGAGGATCACAAATTCAAGGCCAGCCGGAACAATTTAGTGAGACCCTGTCTCCCAGTAAAACAAAAGGGCTGGGGATGTAGCTCAGTGGTAAAAAGTCCCCGGGTTCAATCCCCAGTACCCCCAAAAAAGATGAAGACCTTGAGCTGGGATTGGCTCAGTGGCAAAGCCCTTGTCTAGCATGTGTAAGGCCCTGGGTTCCACCCTAGCACCTAAAAAAGAAAAGAAAAAAAAAAAAAAGACTAGGGTAGTGGGGAGAAGTGTGAGTGGGAGGGTGGTGACTGTCCAGAGAGCCAGGGAGACCATCCCCAGATGCCTCACTTTCTCGAAGCCACTTTGATTCTATTAGCAAAGCTTGGGTTTCAAGTTGAAAGCCATCCAGAATCCACAGCTTCTCCCCACCACTACTCTGCCCTTTTCCTGGGTCCAGCCACCATCACCTCCCATCAGGCAATCACAGAGACCTCCCCACTGGGCTCCTGGGTCTCTACTGTCACCCCAGTACATTCCCCACCTTGGCTGTCAGAGGGATGCTGTTACAACTAAGTCCGGGAGCCACCTTAACCAGGGCAAGAGCCCACACCATTACAGAAGCTATAAGGCCTGTCGCCTCTCTGACCTCATCTCCCACCCCACTACCCTCTGTTCCAGGTGTATGCCAACCTCAATCCAACCAAAGCCCAAGGGACTTTGCACCTGCCATTATTATTGCCTGGAACCCTCTTTCAGATAGGAGATCATATATTTCCAGAAGCATAGCTCACTTTTTGCTGCTCAAATATCATTTCTACAAGCAGGAAAAAATAGTATACCCTTCACTCTGTTTTTTTTTTTTTTTTTTTTTTTTTTTTAACCTTTTTCTGTGTGTGTGGCATTAGGGATTGAACCCAGGGGCACTTTACTACTGTGCTACGTCTCTAGCCCTTTTCTAAATTTTGAGATTGCTAAATTACTGAAGCTGGCCTAGAACTTGTGATCCTCCTGCCTCAGTCTGGGACACCAGGATTCCAGGTGTACCTCACTGTACTCAGCTCCAGGCTGGTTTTGAACTCCTGGGCTCAAGAAATCCCCCTGCTTCAGCATCCCCAGTAGTGGGGACTATAGGCACATGACACTGGCACTACCACCTCCCGACAATATGTATTTACTGTCCCATATGTACACTTAACAACAGGAGTACCTCCTGAGAAGCATGGGATTCCACCACTGTGTGAAAATCATAGTGTACCTGCACAAACTTAGGTGGCATACATCGCTCACTATAGTGGCCTCCTGATGCAATAGAGATTCAGAGCACATGAACAGAGGCTGCTTTAAAAAAATAAATAAATAAGAGCGCACTCTAGTGATAAAACACATGGCATCACAAATACACACAACAGTAACATGGTTATTTATTGTCAATATCAAATATTACATACTGTCCATAATTGTATGTGCTATTCTTTCTTTTTTAAAAATTTTTGTTATTGATGACCTTTATTTATTTATTTGTTTATACCGGTGCTGAGAGTCAACCCAGTGCTTCACACATGCTCAGCAAGCGCTTTACCACTGCGCTCAACCCCAGCCCCATGTACTATTCTTTTATGCCACTGACTTACGGTAGTGTTCACACCAGCCCCATCACGAATGTGAGTCACATTTGCACTGCAATGTCATGCCAGTGACGGCCTCATTAGGAATTTCTCAGCTTAGTCCTTGGGGACTCCTATCCTGATGGACATGCTGTTACAAAGTGCCTGAGTGTATCTATCTGCCCACAAGCTGCCTGTCCCACCAACATAAGGCTCAGAGAGGGTGACAGGTCTGATTACTTCACAACTGCATCCCACTGGTTAATGGGGATTGGCTGACCAGGTGTAGGGCAGGGGGGGATTCAGTATATATTTTTTGAAGACTTGTAAAGACTCATACACCCAGGGAACACTTACTTGATTTTATGGAATGAAGAGTGCCTGATTCTAGAATCACAGAATAAAGCAAATCAAGATGCTTAAAAGAAAATGATTCACCCATCCACTTTATCCAATATGATCAATACCATCATCAGTGTGCCTGCTCTTGTGCCAAGCCCATGCTAGGGGGTCTTGAGAACAAATCTAGGGACTCAAACAGCCCAATCCATTCCTGCCCCATGGGCTTAACATCCAGTAGGGTACACAATCTCATCCCCAGGCAAGAGGGCAGACCAAAGGGGGGGCAACACCCAGTCAAATGGAGGGGGTGGAAAGTGGTGTCCAGGAAGGGCGGACATATCTGAGCAAGGTCCTGAATGAGGAGGGGATAGATGCAGGGAGCAGGGTTATGGAAGGACTGCAGCTAGAGGCAACAGCAAACACAAAGGCACATCACTATAGTGGCCTCCTGATGGTGCACTTGAGGCACAGTCAGGAGGTCAGTGTGGAGCAGACAGGGTGATGAGAGTTGGATGGAGAGCCTTGTGGGTTGTGACAAGAATTTGGGCCTCAGGGGCTGGGGTTGTGGCTCAGTGGTAGAGTGCTTGCCTTGCACATGTGAGGCACGGAGTTAGATCCTCTGCACCACATAAAAACAAACCAACAAAATAAAGATATGAAAAAAAAAATTGGGGCCTTAGGGATGGAGATGTAGCTAGCATGTGTGAGGCACTGGGTTTGATCCTCAGCACCCCGTAAAAATATATAAAGACATTATGTCCATATACAACAAAAAATTTTTTTAAATAAAATAAAAATAATTTGGGCCTCAATTCTGAGAGACATGGGAGCACAAAAGTGGTTCTGAATCTTTGTAGGAAAAACAGGGATCTGGCCTACGTTTTCACTGCTGCCCAAAGAACAGACTGGGGACACAGGGAGAAGTAGGTGAGGTCACTGTATGGCCCAGGTAAATGTCAGTGTTTAGGAGAGGGTGGGGACAGTGATGGTGGGGAAAGGAGGTCAGATATGGATATGTTTTTAAGGTTGCGAGCTCTCCTTGAAGGATGCAAAGTGTAAACTAAAGAAAGGGTGATCTAGGGAGACACCAATTTTTTTTTTTTTCCTGATGCAGGAGACTGAGGGGAATGGGATTAAGGGCTATTTACATTTAAAAAACTTATCTGACCACTGTCACCAGTCCCCAGGGCCTTTCTCCAAACTAAGTTAACATTTAAGTATTTTAAGATAAACACTCAGGACTGGGGTTGTGGTTCAGTGGTAGAGTACTTGCCTAGCATGCATGAGGCACTGGGTTTGATCCTCAGCACCACATAAAAATAAAAAATAAAGATATTTTGTCCACCTAAAACTAAAAAATAAATATTAAAAAAAAAGATAAACACTGAGGTCTCCCAGATGGGAATTAAGCAAGTGGCCAAACACATTGTTTTAGGGGGTTTTTACTTTGTTGGATGCAGGTATTTGTGATTGAACCCAGGGGCACTCTATCACTGAGCTACATTCCCAGCCCGAGCCTCCATTTTTTTTTTTTTTTTAAGACAGGCTCTTCCTAAACTGCCCAGGCTAGCCTTGAACTTTCAATCCTCCTGCTTCAGCCTCCAGAGTAGATGGGATATCGGGCCCACACCACCAGCTAAAAAATTATGTTAAAGCCTATTAAGGGGCTGGGGATGTGGCTCAAGCGGTAGCGCGCTCACCTGGCATGCGTGCGGCCCGGGTTCGATCCTCAGCACCACATAAAAACAAAGATGTTGTGTCCGCCAATAACTAAAAGAAATAAATATTAAAAAAATAATAATAAAATAAAGCCTATTAAAAAAATAAATAAATAAGGGCTGGGGTTGTGACTCAGAGGTGGAGCCTTTGCCTAGTATGCGTGAGGCACTGGGTTCAATCCTCAGCACCACATAAAAAATAAAATTTAAAAAATAAAGGTATCATGTCCATCTACAACTAAAAAATAAATGTTAAAAAAAAAAACCGAAATGAAGGAAGGGCCAGTGGAGGGACTTGTCACTTTCCTAAAGTACAAATGAAGTTGGAAGATGTTGAATCATTACCTGATACAGGTTGCAGAGTGGCAGGCAAGGGAGCCAACAGGGCCTACAGCCAATGGAGCAGGGGCCCTCACCCTACCCTATGACAAGGACAAACATTTTCCACAGTCCAGGGGAAGCCCTTGAGGGTTTTGGAGCCAAGGTGTGACCTGATAAGAAACAGGTTTGAGAAACCTTACACAGCATGTCCAAGAAAGGCCAGGGCGGGCTAATCCACTCTCCCTGGTACCAGGCCCTAGAGGCCTTTATCATCTCAATCCAATTGGGGGGGAGGGCAGGGATTTCCTGCCCAAAGGTTTCAGGAAAAATGTCCAAAGTCATTTGCCACCGCTTGAAAAACCAACCCTTTAGACTAGATCTCATCATTTAGGTCCAGGCAGAGGAAGGGGATTCATTGATCTCCCTGCTTGGGGCCTCAGGGCACGCTTTAAGAAAATGAGAAAGGAGGAGCTCAGTGGACAAGCAACATTGGGCCAACCCTTTGCAGCTGCCAGGGTAGGGAACCAGCTGAGTTAACAGGTTAACAGCCAAGGGCAGGACCCAACTGAGCAGAGAACAGACGTGACCAGGCACATACCTTGGGATGCCCTGTCTTGAGGCAAATTTGTTAAATGGGGCCACCTGAGCAGGTAGGAACCCTAAACACGCCTCTCCTCCGCCCCTGGGGGCAGGTCAGTTTTCTTTCAATTCCTCCGGGCCACTAATGGCTCTCCTTTTCTTATACTAAGTAGGTCCTCCCGGCCCCCAGGCGTCCACTTCCCACCACGCCCTGGGCGTTGGGCTGGACGTTCCTCCCACCTCCAGGCTCCCAAGAAACCCGTGATTCCACCCAGGGGAAGACGGGGGTCTCCCGACTGCCATCGTTGCTACTGTTATCATCCAGGTCCTCCTTACTTCCCCGAGGGACAGCACTCCGCCTGCCCCCTCCGCCACCTGCGGCCGGCGCAATCCGCCTCTTCCCGCCACTCCGGGCCTTCCCGGGGCCGGGAACCTGCCCTTGATTCCCCACCGCCACCCCGTACTCACCCAGGTTCACAGCTTCTGGCGCCCACACTTCCGCCGGGGCCCCCGCTGCAGAGGCCCGGGCGGACCGCAAGCCTCCGAGCCTGGGTTCCGCCCGCGCCGCTGCCGCCGCCGCCGCCGCCGCCGCCCCACGTGGTCGCGGCCGGCAGGGAGGCTTGGCTCCGGGCACCGCCCTGGTCACCGCCCCGCCAGCACCTTGACCGGCCAGCCTGTTAGTTGGGGGCGTCTGGGATGCCCATTTTACGGAGCACGAAACTGAGGCTCGTAGAGGGAAAGTCTTCCCCGCGGCTGGGTCAAGGGCAGAGCTTAGCGTTTGGCCCCCGCCCGCGGCACCGACACGCTCCTACCCCGCACTTCCCGGGGCAACGCCACCTCCCCCGGGGCAACCTTGAAATCGTGCTATCTGCAGCCGCGGACGGGGAAATAGGCTTAAAGGACAGCAGCTGGGATGGACGAGAGAGGGTCATTTTGTCCTCCAGCTCTCCCTGCTGGCCAGGTTTACAAAACTGAGACCCTGAATGAGGAAACGGAACCTCTCAGCTCTAGGCCCGGGCCGAACTCGCTTCCTCCCCTCGTTAATGTCCACTTGGGCAGGGATCCTGAGTACCTCGGCTTTCCTAGGGCCTGGCACACGCGTGCTCTGCAAATATCTGTGGAAAGACGCCAGACACATAAAAGGAGGTCAATTCGTACTTGCTGACTGAATCATGAGGCAGAGTTGCTCGGAACCAGACCGGGGCTCCCTTTGCCATCTCACAACTTGCATTCTAGAGGGGGCGGGAAAAATAGAAGAGAGTATAAATGAGCAAATACATAAACATAAATGGGATCTTTCAACACGTGATAACTGGATGCCAAAAATAAAATGAAATAATCCCAGCCCAGTAGTGGCTCCCATTTATAATCCCAGTGACTCAAGAGGCTGAGGCAGGGAGGATTGCAAGGCCAGTCTCAGAAACTTAGCAAGATTCTGTCTCAACATAAAATATAAAAAAGTGTTGAGGATGTCTTTCAGTGGTAAAGCACTCCTGAGCTCAACCCCAGTACTGCAAAACGAAATAAAATAAGGGGCACAGCATTAGTGTGTGGCAGGGTTGGGAGCTTCATTGAGTGGTCAGAGGTGGCCACTTCAGGTAACCCTCTGGTTCTAACATTGTTTTGAGAACTGGGGAAACTGAGGTCCAAAAAGGAACTAGGACAGATGGAGGTCATCGAGGGTAATTTGCAAGGCCTTCAGCAGGGTGGGGCTACTTTAGATAGGCGGTCAGGGAGGACTTCTGCTCTAGAGAGGACAATTGAGCTGAGACCTGAATGACAATATGCGGAACTCCAGGAGATCAGCATCAGGAATTCACTCAGGGCTGGGCTAGGGACACCTGTAGTAGGACAGACCCTGGCCCTAACCTCAGGGGGCATGCCTTAGGTTGGGGGGGGGGCGGTCAACAGTTCTATACTGTGTGGTGGTCTCTGCCAGGAAGAAAAAAAAACTCAGAAAGGATTGAGGGTGGGGCAGAGTGTCAATGCCACTTCAAACAGCAGCAGATAGAATTGCTAGAGGAAAGAAGTTCTAGGGGCCCAAGAAGGGGCAGGTAGTTTGTTTTTATTTTTGGTACTGAGGATTGAACCTGGGGGCAATTTTTGGCTGAGTCACAGCCCAAGTTCTTTTAATTTTTTAGGTTGAGAAAAAGCCTTTTTGTGGAGCGGGGGTTGAATGAGGGGGATCAAACCCAGGGCCTTGTGCACATGAGGCAAGCACTCTACCAACTAAGCTATATCCCCAGTCCATGGTCTTACTAATTTTTGAAGCTGGCCTCAAAATTGTGATCCTCCTGCCTCAACCTCTCCAGCCGCTGGGATTAAAGGCGTGCATGACCACACCTGCTGGGCTATTTGATTTTAGTGGCCTAGGAAAAAAGTAGATGTACATGATTACAATCCTCCTCAGCTCAAAACCCGTCCAGGGCTTGTTTCAGGAAAACCAAAAGACATGAAACGGACCAAAGGCCCGTGTGGTGGAGCCCCATTTTCTCACAGAACTCAATCCCTCCCCGCCCCGCCTTACACCCACGAGCGTTCCTGAATACCCAGACCGACTCCCGCACCTCCCTCGGTCTCAGTTCCGCGCTACTCTGCCCCGGCATGGGGAGAAAATTGCTGGCACGGGGTTACCCTGTCCCCATCCCTAGCTTTATTTTGCTCCTTGGCGCCTGTCATCACGGACGGTGCCCCGCAGTTTACGCAGGTTGTCTGTGTTCTGTGTCTCCCCCGCCACATAAGCTCCAGAGGGCAGGGTTAGTTGTGATTTTGTTCACTCCTGCATCTGCAGCCCTTAGAACAGCGCCGGGTCGCAGAAGGCACTCAATAAATGGTGTCCAGTTATTTTTTTCCCGCAATACGTTTAATGGAATAGTCCAGATTATTAGTGCCTGGTAAGAAAGGTGGCCGACCCCTTCCCGCTAAGGGTGTGTGGGGGCATCCCGTGCCTCAGTTTCACCGGCCCGAAAATGGGCTCTGTAAAACCTATTTCTGAGTCTCAGAAGAATTCGGAATGATAGGATTTGGCCACTAAGACGAGAGCGGAGGGTCGGGACTGCGGATTGAGTTTGGCCGCCGGCGGGGCCGCCCCGGCCTCTCCCGTCAGGCTCCGCCCCCGGTGGGCGGAGCCACGGCCTGGCCAGCACGTGTAAAAGTTCGCGGCGGGTCGCTGCAGCCACTCACCTGAGCGCCTCGCTCCGAGCGTGCAGCGCTCGCGCGTCCTCCGCCGCCAGGCCGCCCGCTCGCCCGGCCCGCGACTCATGTCCCGCCGCAAGGCCGGCAGCACGCCCCGCCGTGTAGACCCCGCGCCGGCCGCCAGCTCAGACGACGGGATGGAGATGTCCGACCTCGTCATCGAAATGAAGCCCGACCCAGACGTGCGGCCCCTGCAGGCCTTGGGGCAGGGGCCCTTCTCCCCAAGGGAGGTGTCGGCGCCGGGCCGGTTCGGAGGCGAGCCCCGCTACTCTCCCGGCTCCGTGCCTGCCGGGGCCACCCTCCCCGCCCTCGGGGTGCGGAACCAGTGGGCTCTGTGGACGCTGACCCCGAACCCTTCCGGTGAGCTCCCGGGGTAGCCCTCCTTATCTGTGGCCCCCAAGTGGGACCCCTGCCCTGTGCATGGGCCCCTGGGACAGCCTCATCGCCTTAGCCGCGTCCTGGTCCCAGCCCCCTTCTGACCTTCGGGTTTCCCCTCTCTCTCGGAACCCCCGGCCCCCATCCTGGCCCCACCCCGCGCTCACCACCCGCTTCCTCCCTGCAGACCGCCAGCCCTGGACCGACAAACACCCAGATCTGTTGACCTGCGGCCGCTGCCTGCAGACCTTCCCGTTGGAAGCTATCACTGCCTTCATGGACCATAAGAAGTTGGGCTGTCAGCTCTTCAGAGGCCCCAGCCCCTGCCTGGGCTCAGGTGAGTAACGACAGGCTCAGTCTCCCTCTGAAGTTCAAGGGCTCGGCTTCCTGCGGGAGAGGGGCTGAGGTGGACAAGCAGGGCACTGAGCATTACTTCCCTTTTCTCGCTCCCCACCCGGCGCAGCCTAGGCGTGGCCAGGGCCTGCCCGTCCTAGGGCAGGGACTAGAGGTGGGAGGGGGTGGGGCGGAGGTTGGGCAGGGAAGGAGGGCGGCCCACAGGGTGTGGCCAGCCCCAGAAAACTGGCCTGGGGATTTGCCACACACCCCCAATCTGGTTTCACTTCTCCTTCCCCTTGGACCGAAATAACTGGCCAGGTGGCTGGACCAGGGTGGCAGTAGAGGGACCTCTTGGGAGGGCAGTGGCCTGGGGGAGGGGCTTGGAGACCAGCTGGAAGGGGAGGCTTGCCATTCCCTTCTATTTCTTCATCACTGTTGATCAAGGTGCTGGGACAGTTGTTCAGAGCTAGGGAAGGGGCTTCTCTCTTGGTGCCATGGTGGAATCTCCCAGTAATCCGGGCTGGGAAGCCCCTGGTTTGAGCCAGTGGCAAGACACCTAGTGTCCTTCTCTTGAGGGAATTAACACCCTCTGAGGATTCCTAAGTTTGTGGCTGTGGGATTCACTCAAACCTATGAATTTATAGCCTTCAGCCAATGTCCTAGTTGGACTTAGGAAGTGGAATTATATTCAGGGCTGGGCCTGAGACAGTGGCTGGTGGGAGAGAGGAGGTGGGGCTTTGTGATGGTTTTAGTTTGCAGCCTGAGGGTGGCCTAGTGGGAGAGGGCAGGACTTTCATGAACTCCCTGAAATAATACTTGGACTCCTGATTGTGGGCACCTTGATATCCTAGGCTGGATTAATGTTTGAGGGCCTGTATGGACCAAAGCTCTCAACTGTCCCATATTTAAGGTCACAAAACCCTGGAAGGGAGGGAATCCCTAGGATCCCCACATTTAGTAGCTGAAGAAACAGGCTCATAGAGGGTATGTCTAGCTCAAGGTCACTCATCCAGTTAGCAGAGAAGTCTGAATTTGACTCCAGTCAGGCTGAGCCTCCCAAGTCTCTGCTGTTGACTTTAACACTGGTCCAGAAAGGCCACCCCATCCAAAACTGTACATCTAGAAAGTGTCCACTTGATAATACCCAGTGGGTCTAGAGAAAACCTTACAGGGGTCCATGCAATGGACAGGCAGGTTCCGTCCCCTCATCCATGGGACGGAACCCTAAGCGTGGAGCCTGGAACAGAGAAGCCCCCTTAGTAATCAAGAACTGTTATTATTAAATCAAGTCTTTTAAAAAAAAAAAAAACGGTTTTCCACCCCTGACCCCACTGCCCAGATTTCTGATTAAAATCCTAGTTCCACCCTTTCCAAGCTGTGTGACATTGGGGGCAATGTCTATTTTAGAGGTCATTTCCTGTCCTGAAGGAAAGTTTTGAGTGAGCTGAGCCCAGCACCTAGCACATAGAAATGTTCACTGAATTTGGTCACCTTTTTTTCCCTCGGGTGCTGGGATGGAACCCAGGACCTTGGGAGTGCTAGGCAAGTGCACTCTCACTGAGCTACACCTGTAGACCCTAGTGACCTCTTCAGTAAGGCTGTCCTAACCCTGTATCCCATACAACATTCCCCTCCATCCTTCACTCTGACTGAAGTTTTTACCTTTTTCATCTTGCTGGAGATGCAGCTTGGTGCTAGAGCACTTGCCTTTGTATGCATGAGGCCCTGGGTTCCATCCCCAGCAACACAAAAAATAAATTTCAATTACCCAATCCTGGTGTACTTAGCGCTCACTAGAGATTTTCCTTACTTAAGGAGCTTCCTGGGGGTGGGGGTGGGGGGCTTCCATCTGTTCTTACTGCAGAGTTCTTGTGCCTGGAGTAGAGCCTTTCCCATGAAGGGGTCTAGCTGGCCACTGTGACCTATAATCCTTGTATCCACCAGCACTGACACCCTTCTCCTCCTTCTCTTCTCCAGAACCCAAGGAGGTGAAGGCTTTGAGCTGTCTCCGCTGCGGCAGACAGTTCACAGGGGCCTGGAAATTGCTGCGTCATGCCCAGTGGGATCACGGACTATCCATCTACCAGACGGAATCGGAGGCCCCAGAGGCCCCCCTGCTAGGCCTGGCTGAGGTGGCTGCAGCCGTGTCAGCAGTGGTAGGGCCAGCAGCTGAGGCCAAGGTTTCCCGTGTGAGTAGCCTCACCCGGCGGAGCCCCACCTGCTCAGTGTGCAAGAAGACCCTCAGCTCCTTCAGCAATCTCAAGGTGCACATGCGCTCACACACAGGTGAGCGTCCATACACCTGTGACCAGTGTCCTTATGCTTGCGCCCAGAGCAGCAAGCTCAACCGCCATAAGAAGACCCACCGGCAGCTGTCCCAGAGTCCCTCCTTGGCTGATGCTAGCCAGGATCAGGCTTCTGCAGCCCCTCCAGAGCCAGCTGCCCACGCTGCTGCCCCAGCCAGCACCCTCCGGTGCAGCAGTGGTGAGGGGGCTGGAGCCGCAGCTACTGCAGGTGTTCAGGAACCTGGGGCTCCTGGCAGTGGGGCTCAGGCAGGCCCAGGTGGGGGTGATTGGGGAGCTGTTGCCAAAGAACAGAGAACTGATCCTGCAAAGAGCCAGAAGATGTCACCTAAGAAGATCCCCAAATCTGCTGGCAAGAGCCGTGGGCCAGGGGGCAGCTGTGAGTTCTGCGGGAAACACTTCACCAACAGCAGCAACCTGACCGTGCACCGTCGCTCACACACTGGCGAGCGTCCCTACACCTGTGACCAGTGTCCCTATGCCTGTGCCCAAAGCAGCAAGCTCAACCGTCACCGCCGCATGCATGGCCTAGGGCCTGGTAGCACCCGCTTTGAGTGTCCACACTGCTGTGTGCCCTTTGGTCTGCGTGCTACCCTGGACAAACACCTGCGGCAGAAGCACCCCGAGGTGGGTGAGGTCGCCTGAGCATAAGAGTGCCCCCCCTGCCTCTTGACACCTGTTGACACTGCCAACCTCCTTGTCCTTCCCTTTCTGCAAGTAAATCATACTCCCCTGTTCACACCCAGGCACCTGGTCTCTGGCTTTCTTGGGGTGTCTAAGGTGGGGTGGGAAGGTTCTCCCCCTTGGGATAGCTGGACAGACCGGTTTAGAGTGGGGGGGTGAGGGGAAAGGCCAGCCCCCAGTGCCTGGGGCACAGCAGGACTGGCACAGAAAGCCGTGCTCCCGGTTCTTGGTATGGGTGAGGCCAGGGCAGCGAGGGCGGGGAGAGAAGCCTGGACCTGTCACCAGAGGCCCCTGGGCACAGAGTCCTGGCCCATCCTCCACATGGAGAGTGCTGGGTGGGTCCTCCAGGCCACACATGTGGGCAGAACTCTCCTACCTGCTCAGGCCCCCTGCCTAAGCAGGCCTCACTGGGTTCTGGAACACACAGCTTAGTGTGCTTCAAAGTGGGGTTTGAAGGCCCTGCACCAACCCACAGATGACACACGGCCAGGTGAAGGGCATTAAATAACATTTGCTTTTATTTCACTAGAGAAAACCAGCAGCATCACAGCTTGAGTCCTGTGCCCCACCCCCTTCCTGTCCCCTATTCTTCTGCCTAATGTCGGTAATGGGGGCTTCGGGACCGAGACCTCGAGCGCCTGCAGAGAGAAGTGCAGTAGTGGGTAGGGATGGGGGTCGGCAGGTCAGGACGCAGCCTTGCTGTGAGCATGTGCAGCAATGCCTGCACTGGGTGGTCTCCCGATCAATCAATGATGCCAGCACCCCCCACTCTAGGTTGCAGGATGGGGGAATAGGGGTGATACCTCCCACCCAAGTACAAGAAAGTAATTTCCCAGCCAGTGGAGGGTTGCCCTAGGGAGCCAGGCAGACTGCCTTACCTTCTGGAAGAACTGTATTCTCGACCTAGAAAGGAAAGGATGAGTGGAGACTAAGCCCCTGCCCAGGGCCAAGGACTCCTCCCTGACCTGGAATGGGGTCCTTAAGGCGGCTATTCCCATACTGTCTCCAACTGAGGTGACCAACGCTTCCTGCAGTCCACCAGGGTGCTGCAGACATGCTGTCTGCAGCCATCACCTGTGCCCACATTCAAGCTCGCACCTCAAACATACCACTTTATAGATGGTGAATGGGAACGTGCCGTAGTCTTTGGTGTGATCCTGCCTGGCACTTGTTTTTATTTTCATTATGAGGTTTGGGCTGCTCCAAGGGCTCAGTGATCCACCTGCCTCGTACAACTGAGTAACCAGGATGATAAGTGCCACTGTACTGGGCTAACATTTTTTGATGGTGGGGACTGAACCTAAGGACACCTGACCACTGAGCAATGTCCCAATCCATGTTTTATCTTAAGACAGGGTCTCAATAAATTGCTGAGACTGGCCTTGAACTTGGAATCCTGCCTCAGCCTCTAGAGTCACTGGGATTACAGGCATGTGCAACCATGCCCAGCTCTTGACTTCTTTTTTTTTAACACCCCAGAGCCCTCCAGCCTTGAAAGTACCTTAGCTCTTCCAAATGACAAGTAGGTGCACTCACTGTAGCGAGGGGAGGGCGAGCGACTCTGCCGGCTGTACTGGCGCTCCCACTCTTCTCGCTCCTTCTCCCGACGTTCCCGCTCTCTGCAGGGAGAAAGTGGAGGCAACCAGGGGGTGAGGTGAGCACCTGCTATGAACACCAGTTATGTGACACCTGAGTCAAATACAGCCCTAAACCAAGGGGGCAGGTACTGCTGTCCCCACCTGGAAATGGACACTGGCTGGCAGTCAGGACTGGAGTTCCAGGGGGCCCTGGCAAGGAAAGCCTGGTCAAATACACCCAAGGTAGGCCAGACAGTTTGCTATCATTTCCATCACACTCTGGGGACATGCACACCCTCTGAGTGGTCAGGACTGGCAACCAATGGTTGTGTTTATTGGGTGCCATCTCCATGCCTGGCCCCAATCATGCCAAATCCTCCCAACAAGCCTATGTTGGGGTTGAGGATTCCTTCTCTATTTAGGAGATGGGTAAACAAGATCAAATGTGACAAAGGCCCACAGTACTGGGTGGCTAAGTGTGACGGACCCCAGTCCCTGACAACCCTTCAACTTTTTCCCCCGCAGTATTGGGGGGTTGAACCACTGAACTACATCCCCAGCCCCACGCCCCCAAACACTTTTATTTGAGACAGAGCCTTGTGAAGTTGCCCAGGCTGGCCTCGAACTTGGGGTCCCATTCTCAGCCTCCCGAGTATCTGGGGTTACAGGTGTGTGCCACCATGCCCAACTCTTCCTCCACTTGCTAATGGCAGCACAAAGCATCCTCTGAAGTTCAACACACAACAATGAAAAAAAATGGGAACAGCAGCAGCTCTGAGCATCAAGCATCAGGCCTTCCCACCCACCAGACACCGTGCTGAGCCCTGCAGGAGACCCCGTGGGCATGGGAGCATCACCACCTCTGCCTACAGAGGAGGAAGTCCCACCTCAGACATGGGACACTGCTCACCCACAGACTCACAGCCAACAACGGGATGGAACCACAACAACGGAGTCCCCTCTTTGCTGCACATACAGTGCTACTGCTCAGAGCTAGCCTTGCTGCCAGAAGTTAGGGATTTATTTTTTTTTTGGGGGGGTACTAGGGAATGAGCCCAGGGGCACTTTATCACTGAGTTGTCTCCCAATTGCCCCCCTTTTGTTGAGACAGGGTTTTGCTAAATTGCTGAGGCTGGCTTCCAACTTACAATTCTCCTGTCCCAGCCTCTAGAGACACTGGGTTTACAGGTTTGCACCACCATGCCCAGCTGCACCCCCAGTTCTGCCCATGGGTCCTAGGCAAGCCGAAGTCTTATGGACACTACCTCCTGGTCTGCCCAGCGAGGTAGACACTTTGGACTGTCCTACTTCAGAGTATCAAGTGAGGTTTTGAGAGAGTCCCAGGGCCACATGACCAGAGAGAAGCACAGCTGAAATTGATCAAGTCTGTGACCCAAGCTCAGAACTCCTGACCAGCACAACACTGCAGGAGAAGCAAGCAGACAGAGGAGAAAAGCCCATCCCCAGCAGCAGGCCAGGTGCCAGGCACCTGCCATAGGACTGGCTAGCAGACCGCAGGCTTCAGCGAGACACCCAGTGCGGGAGAAGGGCAGCAGGGCAGGGTGCTCTGGGTGGGACAGTCATGGAAGCCTGTGCAAGGTGAGGGGTTGGGGCATCGGGAGAACCGCCATGGGCCAAGAGGACAACAAAGGAGGCGATCTTGGGCGATGTAGGGAGCAGAATGAGGGAGAGGAGCCAAAGGGCCAGGCACACCCTGTGGGCCAGTGAGGGCCGACTTTCATCCACCCACAGAGGTTGGGCAGGGCTCCAGCCGGTGGCGGCAGGAGGCCAGGGTGGGGGGCAGCCTTACTTCATCCGGATCTTGCGGGCCATGGCGCGCAGCTCATCTTCCCGCTCCTACGGCAGAGCCAGCTGTGAGGCATGGCCAGGCCAGCACCCACCTGAGCAGCACCCCACCCACGCCCTCCCCCTAACCTGGCGCTCATGCTCCTGCTGGATCATCTTCTCCTGAGCGGCCTTCTTATCCGCCTTGACTGCAGAAGGAAGGAGCATGGCTGAGGACTCCCTTGGAGTCCACCCTCCTACCCCACCAAGTGGGCTGGGCCCTCAGCACTGGGCGGCGGGGCAGGCACACAGCCTCCTCCTCAGGGGAGGGAAGGACGTACACTGCCTGTTCAGCGCCTTCTGCATCCTCAGCTTCAGCTTCTCCTGCGGCGTCAGCTTGGGCTGGGGGAGGGGGAGAAGAGGCAGGAGGGGTGGGTGTCCCGGAGCCTCCAACCCACCTCAGGCAAGAGCCTGGGACTTGTGGGGGAAGGGACAGGCTGTGAACACCTGCCACAAGGCTCTGAGAGGCTCAGGGACACTGGAGCCCCAATATACAGTGAGGCAGGGAGGGGACATGGTTTCTTGAAGGCAGATCCCTTGGCCCCCTCCCTCCTCAATCCCTGGGACGGGATCTCCCGGCCCACCCGGGCCCCCCTGCAGGCCCACCGGGCCCAGCTCTTGGGCACTGCTGCTGGCGGGAATTAGACGGGCGAGTTCCAAATTCTTACTGACTTTGGCAGCTCCTGTCTCTTTACCAGCGGCAGGTTCGGTCCTGGTGGGAGGAAGAAGTGGCAACTGCCACCTCTGACCCCACAGCCCCAGCACAGCCCCCAGGAGCCAAGGTCGTGACCTCAGATCCCACAGGGAGTGACCCTGTCCCCCTCTGACCCCAAAGGGACAGGTTCCCACCCCAAAGGCAGAGCCTCCATGTGGCGGTGTCCTTAGACCAACCCTGGATGAGGGCCAGGTCCCACCCAGACCTCCGGGAGTAGGACCAAGTTCCCTTCAGAGGGAAGGGAGCTCCAGTCCCCACCTGAGGCTAGCAACCCTCTTCCCCAGCCCGATCCCTGCTCACTTTTTCAGCTTCTCGCCCACAGCAGGGGACGCTGCTGGCCGGGTCAGCTTCTCCCTTGGGGGCGATGGTGAGTGACTCTGGCTATGGCTGCGGCTGCGGCTGCGGCTACGGCTCTGGCTGGGGCTTCGGCTGTGACTGCGGGTCAGGCTTCGGCTTCGGGAAGGGCTGAGGGACCAGCTGCTGCGACTGCGGCTGCTACTGCGATGCCTGGGGCCCCGGCCACCCCGCCTATATCGGTCCCCTGAGCGGGAGCGGCTCCTAGGGTACAGTGGGGATAGGAGAACATCTGTGAGGTTCCGGGAACTCTACACACTCACCCCCTACTTGCACACCGGAGTCCACCTGCAAGGTCCTGTATGTCCAGATGTGATCCTCTGCTTTATCCCAGAAACCCCAAGCTGTCCCCTGGTAAACAGGCCTCCAGCATCTGACTCGCTCCTTGTCCTCATTAGACACCCAGTTGTGACTTCTGGGGATGTAACCTATGGGTGGGCAGGACTCCGCCCCATACCATAACCATCCCAAGGTGGGGTACATAGTTTCCTAGGGTGTTCTCCTGCTACAGGAGGCGGGGGTGGGGTCGCACCAGTCTCCAGCACAGACCCGCAAGTTCAGGAGTGAGCATGCGCAGCCCTGTCACCTTCTGAGCAGGGGCTTGCCCTCAGGCTGGCATCAGTGTGACCAAGCCTTACTTCCCTCCTTCAGTCTTGCTCCTGTGGTTACCCTGGGTCAGACCACGTGGGATGACCTGCAAGCCAGTGCCAAGCCACACAAGCCTGCTCTGCCAGGGCCATCCTGATTTTTTTTGTGGTACAGGGGATCAAACCCGGCATAACACATGCTAGGCAAGTGTCTACTATTGATCTAAATTTCCACCCTTTCTTCATTTTTTTATTTTGTGATGGTCTAAGCCACGGAGGCTAGCCTTGAACTTGCAATACTCTTGCCTTAGCCACCCCAGTAGCTGGGATTACAGGCATGCACCACTGTGTCCAATCCATCATGGGTATTTACAGCACCACATAAAAATAAATAATAGGGGCTGGGGATGTGGCTCAAGCGGTAGCGAGCTCGCCTGCCGTGCATGTGGCCCAGGTTCGATTCTCAGCACCACATACAAAGATGTTGTGTCTGCCGAAAAAAACTAAAAAATAAATATAAAAAATTCTCTCTCTCTCTCTCAAAATAAATAAATAAATAAAAATAAATAATAAAGTTTTTTTTTCAATGAAAAGTAGCTGTTTTTATTATTTTTGTTAGAACATGACAATAATACAGGTTTTTTTTAAAAAAATCCAGACTCGGCCAGGCACATTTGATGCACACCTATAATCCTAGCAACACAGGAGGCTGAGGCAGGAGGATCACTAGTTCAAAGCCAGCCTCAACAACTTAGTGGAACCTGGTCTCAAAATAAAAAGTAAAAATGGCTGGGGATGTGACTCAGTGTTAAGCACCCTTGGGTTCAATCTGCAGTACCAAAAAATAGTAAATAAATAAATATCCAGACTCTCAACTTCTCTTGAAAAACTGAACACTTGGCAACACCAGGCCTGCTGCTGGGGTCCAGAGCCCACCAAGGGAACACAAGCTGCCAGTACACCAGGGGCGCCTGCACAAAGCTGACGGTGCAGTAGACTCTACAACGCAGGCGATAACACTGATGACAGTCACAGCTCGTACCCAGGGCCAGGCCCTGCTCTGAGTGCTCTACTCAGCTCATTTGTCAAATTTCTGCAAAAGTCAAGGAGGTGAATGCCTTCCTGGCTCTGTTCTGCTGATGAAGAAGGCAGGACCCCGGAGTTCATCAATGGCACAGGGCAGCCCACCTCCCCCCACCACTCTCACTGTCTAAATCAGACTTCTCACCATGTAAGGGGACTGGCAGGGAAAGGATGCTCTGATCCCTGGTGACTATTTCCTCAACAGGCTTCAGTGCTGCTTGAAACCTTACCTCCTCCACAAAGGGAGCCCTAGTTTTTCTGCCTCCCTCCCCAGCTGCACCCACACATGTAGCAACGCCTCCCCACTTTCCTGGGTCCCGCACTGCAAGTTGCAGGAAACACTGGGGCATCCATGACTTCTGCTCCCAGGGCATAGGCACTCCTAACAGCAGTGACAGAGGCACATGGTGATGTCTCTGCCCCACTGTCTTTGGCCTGGCACCCCCTGAACAGAGCAGGCACCTAGGCCTCTCCCTACAAACCCAGAGCTTCCTAAGAAAGAACAGTGGCCTGTGCCTGACCCCTCAGACTGGCCAGGTCCCCCAAGCCTGGCCTCCCTGGGATGCGGAACCATGCCGCTTGTCTGCCCCCACATACACATGACCTCACGCACCTGCTTCTGCGCCGGGGCCCATAACCTCCGCGCCGGGTAGGCGAACGTGAATAGCGGTGTCCATCTCTGGAGCCCCCACCTGAGTGTCGCCGGCCACGGCTGCGAGACCGGGAGTAGCGCCGGGAACGGGATCGGGAACGGGACCAGGAGCGGGACCGGGAGCGGGCATGGCGGCTGGAGCGGTAGTAGCCCCCACCGCGGCGGGAGCGGGAACTGGACCGGGAACTGGAGCGGGAGCTGGAGGTCCTCGAGGCAGAAGAGGAGGAGGAAGAGGAGGAGGAGCGCCGGCTGCAGGCGAGGCACGGAGGGCCAGTCAGCATGGGCCTGGGCTGGGGCCCCCCTCTGCCCCAGGGCCCTCCCACGACGGCCGGGGCATAGGGCGGGCAGCGTGAGCGTTACCGACCGGGCGCTGGCATTGCGTCCCGGTGCGGGGCCGCCAGGCTGAGGGGGCGCAGGGGGCTTCCCTGTGGCGGCCCCTGATGCGGCAGCAGCAGCAGCGGCTGCAGCTGCCTCCTCATCGCTGCCCCCAAAACTGGTGATGAAGGTGATCTTCTCCTCCCGGCCTGGGCTCGGGGAGCGCGAGCGGGAGCGGGACTCGGAGCTGGACTCTGAGGGGGACCTGCAGGCAGACAGGAAGAAGGGTTCAGGGGCCCAGGCTTCTCCAGCCTGCTATCCAGTGAGGAGACAGCGCAAGGGAAATGACGGCCCCAGGCACAGGGAAGCATGGAAAGGGTGGAAGGGCCGAGGAGATGGCCACCTGTGAGGACGCCACCACCACAGAACGCTTAAAAGAAAAGAAATGCGAGAAAATTTCTGGCATTATGTGGCTATTTAAAATGGATGACGGGGACTGGGGACAGAGCTCAGTTGGTGGAGTGCCTGCCTCGCATGCACAAGGCCCTGGGTTCAATCCCCAGCACCACACACACAAAAAGACGACCGGGGCTGGGGATGTGGCTCAAGTGGTAGCTCGATCCCTGGCATGCGTGAGGCACTGGGTTTGATCCTCAGCACCACATAAAAATAAATAAAATAAAGGCATTCTGTCCATCTAAAGCACACACACACACACAGATGAGAAAAAGAAAGAAAAAAGAAAAAGGATGAGCTTCCTGGGTGTGGTGGCACAGGCCTGTAATCCCAGCAGCTTGGGAAGCTGAGAGTAGGATCTCAAGTTCAAAGCTAGGCTCAGCAACTTAGCGAGGCCCCAAGCAACTCAGAAAGACTGCCTCAAAAACTAAAAAGGCTGAAGATACGGCTCCACGGTTAAGTGCTTCTGGGTTCAATTCCTGGTACAAAAAAAAAAAGGATGAAGCTAGGCACAGAGACACACACGCCTGTAATCCCTGTGACCAGGAGGTTGAGACAGGAGTATCAGAACCAGCCTTGATAAGCTCCAGGTTAGTCTGGGCAACTGAGTGAGACCCTGTCTCAAAAAATAAAAACAATTAGGAATGAAGCTCAGTAGTAGAGCATCCCTGGGTTTCATCCCCAGTCCCCCGCCAACACAAACAATGAAACCAGGTGGTGCACCTTATAGTTCAGCTACTCTGGCCACCTTAGCAAGGCCCTGTCTCAAAATAAATAAAAAGGATTGGATACAGAGCTCAGTGATGGAGCATTTGCCTACCATGTAGGAGGGGTAGGGTTCCACCTATCCCCAGCACCACAAAAAGACAAAAGATGGAAGGAGCAGATCTTTTTTTTTTTTTTTTTGTGGGAGATAGTGGGGTTGAACCCAGGTGTGCTTAAGCACTGAGCCACATGGCTAAGGCTAGGGGCTAGGGTTATGGCTCAGTGGTAAAGTGTTTGCCTCGCATGTGTGAGGCACTGGGTTCGATCCTCAGCACCACATAAAAATAAATAAAGATACTGCATGTTCATCTACAACTAAATAAATATTTTTAAAAAAAAATTGTTGAGGTTGGCTTTGAACTTGCAGTCCTCTTGCCTCAGCTTACTGAGCCACTGGGATCACAGGTGTGGGATGAACAGATCTTTGTATTTCTCCTGAAAGTTCTTCTCAATAAAGGTAGATGGGTGAAGAGCAAGGTCTAAAATAAGTGCAGCCTAATTCCATTGTAAAAAATACAGAGTGTGTGCAGCCCTGGTCGGTCTTTGATTTCACAGAAAGCCAAAAGCGCCTCGGCTCACTGAGCCTGCCTCAGTCCCTGAGGAAGACCCCATCCTTACTCCCACTCTGAATGCAACTGGACTTTACAGAGCTGCAGGAGACAAAGGAAGCGGGGTGAGACAGACCTGACCCCCAGGCCCTGCCCAGGCCACACCGTAGACAAGCACACAGGCTCAGCCACTGCTATTCCTATTGGGTATTTCTGAGAGTTGAGATTAAAGAGACACTTGATTTCTAAGTCACACCTTTCTGCCATGTTTGACTGTGTTTACCACAAAACTATTATGTTTAAATAAAAAATTTAAGGAAACTCAAATTAAAAAAAAAAAGGGAAAACACAAAAATGTTACAGAGCCATGAACCCTCACAGAGTAAGCCATGCAGTTTGTGACTAGAGGTTGGCCTTCAAGGGGTTTCCTACTGGTCTGCCTCACCTCCGTGCCCTCCATCAGAGGGGGCTGAATGGTGGCCCTCCCTGGACGGTGGGAACTTACCGCTTATAGGGGTCGTAGGTGGGGCTGTCTCGGCGAGCATAGCTATGGAGAGAAGGGGGTAGGAGTGAGGGCAGGTGATCTAAACAGGCACAGTACCAGGCTTAGTCCCCAGTCTCAGTATACAAGGCCAGGGAGCTGGCATAGTGAGGGGGCTTCTCCCTAGGTTATGAGTCTGGCCCTGGTTCCTCCATCTATCCCCACATCAGATCTGAGTGCCAGGGCCCAACCCCCCAACAATATCTCAGATCCTCCCTGACTCCAAGCAATAGGGACCTCAGCAGCCCTGGCCCTGCTTTGTCTCCTGACCTGAGTCTAGAAGGGTTCCTCCTTCCCATCCCACATCCATAATTTCAACGAGGTCCTGACTTATTGATAAGAATGATAAGACTGAAACAGCTGAGTTTTAATTGCGGACTATATGCCAGGCACTGAGTGATGAATATAGATTATTTTGGTGGCTCCCCGTAACAACTCTGATCATTCACTTTTTGCAGCCAAGGAAACTCAGGCCCAAGAGATGAAGTCACCTGCCTCATGTCACAAGGCTCATAAATGAAGGGAGCTAGCATCCAAACCCAGGCCCATGACCCTAAGCCTGTGCTTTACCCATGACACTGACATGTGCCCCTGTGCTGATGACGGTGATGGTGAGAATCAATTCCATTCTTTTTTTTTTTTTTTTGGTACCGAGGATTGAACTCAGGGCCACTTAACCACTGAGCCACATCCCAGCCCCTTTTTGTACTTTTATGAGCGATAGGGTCTCACTGAATTTCTTAGGGCCTTGCTAAGTTGCTGAGGCTGGCTTTGAACTCAAAATCCTCCTGCCTCAGCCTCCTGAGCCACTGGGATTACAGGTGTACGCCACTATGTCCAGCTCAGCACCATCCTTTGATGAACATTTTCCACACTAAACCCTGAGCCACAACATGTCATTCACCTCTTGCAGCCACACTCAAACACTGGCTTCAACAGATGTGTGGCAAGAGGCATGGGTCTGCCTGGGGCTCCTAGGCCTACCACATAGACCCCCATGCCCAACTGCCCCAAGACCTCCATGTGGATACTGGCCCAATCCTCTCTCCTGGAAAGTAATAGCCACCATTTTCCAAAGGAGAACGCAGGCTTAGAGAAGGGAGTTGCTTATCCAACTATTGACTGAGGAGGTGGCTAGGCTCCAGAACTGAGCAGGATCTAGAGTCCTGCCCTTGTCTCCCAGCTCAGGCCTCAATTATACCAGCCATCCCTAGCAGCAGCCTGATGTCAACTCTCAACTGGCTCCTGGGGAATATGGCAAGAGCCCCAAGTCCAGCCAGGTGAGGGGAGCAGATGAACAAGTGTCCACATGCCCCTCAAAGTCATTCCTGCCACCAAACCTTCACCTCAGGCCTTTCAATGCCCCCCAGGAATAGATCCAAGTCTGTCTCCAGAGAGCCTTCCTGGACCTGCCCTGCCCCCTCCTCCCTGCAGCCTCCAAGACTAATGCTGGTGGGATGTTGTGAGAGGCGAGGGGAGACGCCCTACCTGGGTGGGCTGATCTTGCGACCCCTCAGCCGCTTTTCCCGGAACTCTCTCCGCTGGCGCCGGGAACGACGGCCCTGGGCAGGGGCATGCCAGACTGGTGAGGAGTGTGCACTCCTTGAGGCACACCCGTCCCCTTCACCCTGGCCCTGACCTCACCGAGTACATGGCTTTCTCCTCCTCAAGGGCCTTGGCATGTTTGATGGCCTCTGCCTCCTCCTTATCTTTCCGAAGCATCCTGCAGAGGGGAATGAGAATTCCCATGGAGGGCACAGGTCATAGGGGAGCTGGCCCTCGCAAAGGCTTCAGTGAAAGCGAGGGCCCATGCCCTCCGGTGGTGCCTACTCTCCCATCAATATAACTTACTGAGCACCTCCTATGTGCCCAGTGCTGGCTTAGGCACCAAGATTCCCCTCTGTGGGCTGGCACACTAGGGAAGAAGGGACAGTGACCATGGGAATACAGACCATAGTCCCTATGATGGCACCAAGCTTGACAGGAAACATGGATCACAGGAGGGGACAGGAAGGGACAGGATCCAGACAGGGGTAGCTACACACTGCAGTGGAGAGACTGGGAAGCCTCACAGAGAACATGACATCTGAGAGGAACCTGGGAAGCAGGCTGTGCAGATGCCAGGCAGGGTGAAGAGCAGAGTAAATGGCAGATGGACGGGCCCATGGTCAGATGGCCTCAGGCCTCTGCGAAGTAAGAGGCCACAGAGACGGGGCAGAAGCGATAGGCAGAGTGGAAGGACCTGGGGTAAGGGAGGGGACAGAGGACCAGACAGGTAAGGCCTTGTGGCAGAGGCGAGGATGCTGGCTGCTCCTGAGTGGGGTGGGAGTCACAGAGGGCTCTGGACAGAGGTGCTGTGTTTAGACCTGGGTTTACTCAATTTGCAGTTCACTGCTCCATTCCTCAGGATGAAAGCAGAGCTCGGCCCAGGCATGGCCCAAGGACAGGCTCAGCAGCAATGGCTGAGGGACTGACCCAGTGAATGAAGCCACTCTACCAGGGGGTGCTGTACACCAGGCTACGAACCGGGGCAGCTTCAACAGGCAGATTTACCCTGGGGCACGGCAAAAAGGGTTACTGAGCATGCCAAGCTAAGTAATTCTGGGTGCAGACTCAGTTTCTGCAGAGTTGTGTCATAAGTACCCAACCCTTAGGCTCAGGAGCAAACAGTTGTTAGTACCTGGGATACGGACAGAGAGAAACCAGGCTGGGATCCAAACGGTAGGGTGGTGTCGGCAACAGGCCTCACCTGACAAAGTCCCCATCAGCCATGCCATAGGTTGTGGCCTGTTTGTTGAGATCTGCCACCTGCTCCTGGTTCAGTTCATCCACATCCACCTCCACGTCTGCACCAAGAGAAAGGCTGTCAGGAGCCAAGGCCAAGTGAGAGGACAGGAAGAAGGGGCAGTGCCCCGTGAAGAAGGATGGACAGGGAGCCACCAGCCTGCAGGAACTGGCAGGGAGGGGCTGGCTCAGCTCAGCTCCCCCAGGCTGGCCTGGGGATTGGCCAGAAGCCAACAAACACACAGTGGGCAGTGGGGGCTGGGGAAACAGAACTGGGAGGTAGCAGGTGGGTGGGTGGATGGATGAGTGAGGTGCGGAGGAAGGAGAGCAGGGGGATGGACATGGTGGGGGAGACAGGGTGAGCAGGAGGCAGGGTGTGGGTGGAAGGTATTTAGGAGCTGGGTGGGTGACAAACACATGGAAGGAGGGAGGAAGGACTTAGACGTCTGGCTCTGCCCAAGAATAAACACACAGGCGGCCGGCAGGGTGCAGGCCAGGCTGAGAGGACTGGGACAGGCGGGCGGTCAGCTTGCTGTTATTAGGTGGGAGGGGAACCTGCCAGGGCCTGGAGCAGATGGGCCAACAGATGCTGGGGGATGAGGGGCAGCTCTGCCCAAGGATGAACGCTTGTTTCCCAGAGGAAAAAGGGAACAGGAAGGAAAGGCAGGGAGAAGCCCACCCCAGGGAAGACACTGGAACCTACACCTGGGTGGGGAGCACACCATAAGAACAGTGTCCTAGACACGGGAAGCCAGAGAAGCACAGAGGGGGCTGGGAGCAGAGGTATGGGTGACACAAGGATGAGCAGGAGGCGGGAGTGTCCTGGATCAGGGAGGGGACAAGAGGGCTCTTAAGCAGGGGTGTCCCAGAGAGGGTAAGGGACGAGACACAAAAACGATGCCCAGGGACTGTGGGTGGGGAGGGCAGAGAGGGGACCCCACCGATGTCGGGGATGACCTCATCTTCGTCCGAGTTGCTCTCCTCCTCGGCCGGGGACTCTTCCTCCTCGGGTTTCTCTGCTACCTTCTCTACCTCGGCCACGGTGCTGTCCTCATAGGTGTAACCAATGGAAGCCTTCTTTTCTGCCAGCCTGGGATGGGGGACCTTGTGAGCCAGGGCAATGCCCAGCAGAGAAAAGGGCCACGGAAGGCCACTGGCCTCTCAAGTTCCATAGCACCCTCTGGTCAGCCTAGGCTGCATGTCCCTTCCTACCCACCCCTCCAGGCTGGGTCTCCAGCCTTGCCCACATTGGGTCATTATTACCAGGGGATAGGATTGTCTCCCTGACTAGACCAAGAGTCGGTGAGGATAGGGCCCAGGGCACAGCAGGGGCCTTGTGAGGGCCCATGGTTGAATTCATCTAGTCAGTGTTCCCTGCCACCATTCAGTGCCAGCCTTATCCTGAAAGGGTCACGGGTGAGGTCAGAGACTTCTGGAAGCACCCAGTGCAGCCCCATGAAAACTCTTTTATGGAAAAAGCAGCAGTGCTCAGGAACCAGGGGAACCTCAGGGGCAGGAGGGAAGGAACAGCTGAGGGCAGCACCTCCATGGAGCCAGGCTTTCAACTACCGTGAAGGGACAAAGCAGGAGCCACCCTGGAGGGGGACAGAGCCTCTGGCAGGGCCAAGCAAATGTGCAGGCGGAGGGCAAGGAGGACAACAGGACTGCCCACAGCTGTTGTGGAGAGATGCCCACCCCGGAAGCTGTGTCAGCTAGGGCCTCTGTCCTCCAGGCCAGTCCCTGAGGGACACCACTCTGAGACCAGCTCTCCAGAGTACCATCAGCTACTGCTGACAACGGCAGGCAGCAGGAAAGCGCACTGTTGAACCTGATTTCCTGCACCCCTCACAGCTCCTGTTCACAGAGGAGCACATCAGACTCCGAGGGGACACCCTCTCTTGTACTTGACCCCCAGGGCTGCCCCCCACCCTACTGAAGCAGCAAGAAAGAAAGCCTCTGGCAAACCCTGTCCCTTAGCCACTGCTTCCTCTTCTACACCTTGACTGAGCACGAGCACCTACTGTGTGCCGAGTGTTGTCCTCGACTTTGGTGAGACTGTGATGCAGAAGATGGAAGAGGCTGAGCCTGGTGGGGCTCGAAGCCCTCCTTGCTCCCCCAACCCTGCAGCACCCCAACCCTGACTCACTTCTTCTTCTCGTCCTCACTGGGTCTCTGGAGACCTCCGTACAACTCGTCAATGTAAATCTGGTACAGGCACTGCTCCTCTGAGACTGCAGCAAGTAAGATACAGGGTATCAGGCGGGGTGGAGGATGCTGGGGAGTCCAGGGGGCCGCTAGAATGCAGTGGGGTGCAGGAGGGCAGGGGCAACCCAAGTGCAGCCAAGGGCAGAGTCACCTCCAGATAATCACACCCCTCTGGTGGGACACAGCAACAATACAGCCCTGGTTATACCACTAACTTGTTGTGCAACTACGGTTAAGTGATCTAACACCACTGTGCCTCAATTTACTTTTCCGTAAGGCAGAGCGAGCACTTGGGACCTGGACACTGCTCCCATTATTACAGTTATGAAGGCCTCTGGCTGGACCTTGCTCTCCTGAGTGCTAGAAGTTACTTGGACCCCAACAGACCCACAGACCACTCCACTGGGTAGTGCCTCCCCATGGTTCAGCTTAAATGTGGTTTGGAATGATCCAGGCACTCCTTCGCCCCCCAACACCCTCCTCCTCCGGGAGCTCCACAACATACCAGCCTTTCCTATCCCCCTGCCCCAGACTCACTGTGGGAGCCTGGGTGAGTACTTCCTTCCCTCCGCAGGCTTTGGCTATTCTATCTGGGGAGCAGCACGGCCCTGCTGTGCTCTAGCACACCTTCCCACTCCTGCCCCCTCTACACGGCCCAGGAGAGGGCCCTGCTGACCTGCCTCCTTTGAGCGCCATGGCCCGCCCTGCCCCAGCCACATGGGCTGTCTCCTCCAGTGCCCACCCCAAGCCTCTGTGCCCAGCCTGGAGCCCTGCAAGGCCCCTCACCTCCCTGGGAAGCACCTTCTATCCCTCACTGACCATGCCAGTCAAACCCTGTCCTACCTTTCCTCAGAGAACAGTGTGCCATCTGCTACAACATCACCTTAGTCTGTCCTTACCACCACTTCTGTGCCTATGCTGCTGCTCCCTCTCCCCTATTAGGCTCCTGACCCCAGAACGACACCAGCCAGTCCCAGGTGCCCTCACTGTTCTGGAATTAAATGAGTGAATGCAGAAACAGAGCTAAGGAAATCACACCTCCAAGAACCCACATGACCTCGGGTGATGGTAAAAATGACAGTAACAGTGACAGATTCCCCTGATTCCGAGGCCTCAGTGACTTCTAGCACTTTGGCAACTTCTGAACACCCCAGAAACAAACAAGGGAGCAGAGCCCCGTGTGGAGCCTGGTGTGTGGGCCTAGAGCTGGGCCTGACCCGCCAGCCCTCCAGGTAAGGGACTGGTGTGGACAAACCAAGCAGAGGGCTCAGGGAGACCAAGAGGGGAACCTCCGGTACTTGGTGGGATATGGGCGGGGAGCTCTCCATTGGGAAGCAGCGGTGGTCAACAACGCAGGGAGAACCCCAGCTCCTCTGACACCACTCAGCCTCAACATCCTGTTGTAAAGTGGAATGCCACCCCGACCCGACCCTGCTGGTGACTGTGCAGGGATAACAGATAATAGGGACAAAAAAACACAAGTCTGCTGGGTGCCACGTCCCCAGGCAGCCCAGAAGAAGAAGCAGCCGCCTCCCCAAGCCTCTGCTTTTACACAGTAGAAGGGTAACAGTGGTAAGGCTGGCTTTGGAGAATTCTGGATGTCTACGGACACCTGGCAAACTGCCGAATGCTGTCTGATAAGTCATTTAAAACAAGGCAAAATTTCCTGTTCTGTCCTGACAATCTCACGGATGCAAGCAAGGAAAAATACACATGTGCTTGCTATTTTTCCCATTTCTTCTTTTAAAGAAAAAAAAAAAAAGAGTATAGAATCGGAGCATAAGGAATGTGGAGGTGACTTTGGCAGGTATGTCTGATTCAGCTAACATCCTCTGGGCCAATCGAGAGACAAAGGCCTGGAGACAGAGCAAGCCTCTGACAGAGCTATGACCAGAACAGCAGGTCATTTAAGTAGAAAGTACCTGGACGCTTTTCTTCCCAAACTTGTTTAGGTCTTCCAGTCTCCAGGGACCCCCCACTCCCCACTCCCTGCCCAAATCACTCACTGCCAGCAAAGTCGTTCTGCACCAGGCCTCGGTAGCGCTCGTAGTTACATTTCCGCTCGTCTGACTCCTGTTCCGGGGAGCTTTGGGGAGGTCAAGATCTTGAGATCAGAGGGAGGGATGGATCCCACTCCAAGCCAGCAGGAAGAGGGACGGAGCACCCAGGCTCAGGGAGGGGAGAGTGCTCCTCCCCACCTGCACGCTTCCTTCCTAGGAAGGTGACAGGCAGGCTGGGGCAAGGACACGTGCTGCTGGTTCCTCAGGCAACCCCTTGGGGAGGCAGCTTACATGGTGGTGAGCAGTGGGGGGGTGTAGTCGGGGATGTGGTCCAGGTGGGCACGGACATCAAAGCGGTCAATCATGTTGTTGGTGTCCCCCTGCCAGGGCATCCTGAAGAGGGGAGGATGAGAGCAGGGAAGCAAAGAGCTCAGGGGCCACTGGACACAAGCACTTGCTCCCTGCCACCTGGTGCTTGAAAGCCTGGCCTGCTGCCCCTGATACCCATAGCGTGGCCTTTACCCTCACTCCCAGCTCTTAGTCCCTGATGCTGCAAAGCACTCTGAAACTACAGTCAGGCTCCTGGAACCTTGAAGAAACCACCATCTGCCCAGCGGGGAGAATGGGGCTCCATTTCTCAGGACCAAGCAACAGCAGAGAACATAAGCCAGGTACTAAGGGCTACTTGAGGAGCCTGTCACCCTGCACCCCACTCTGGCAACCTACCTTCTTTTTGCTTCCTCTGAGCCTCCGGCCTGGTCCCACCCATCCCCTTCTAAGTCCAGCTAGGGCCACCATCCCAACCCCACATGCTCCCTCACTGTCACCTTCACTCTCCTGCCTGAGTTCCCAAAGGCCTGTCTATATCCCAGAATCTCTGCCGCTGACTCCACACCACCTCCTAGTTCCTTCTGATGCCCAGTCCCCAGTCCCAGACATACTCCTGCCCCCACGGCAGCCTCACATGTTAACCGGGCTCTCTGCGGCCAGGGCCACTGCAGAATCCAGATGCACCTTGCAGGCTCGGCCATGCACCTGCAGGAACTGGGCTGGGTCCTTCTTCTGCATGGGGTAGACAGAACAGAGGTCACCACCCAGTGAACTTCAGGTCCCATCCCTATAATCAAGTTGAGGGGTGACCTGGCCTCTAATGTCAAATGGGCCACACCTCAGAGGCAAACCAACCTGCAGAGCAGCAACAGCTTAACTAACGGGGCCACCTAACCCTAGAACAGGGCACCAGTTCCTTCCTAGACAGTGGTGAGGGATCTGAACTCTGGACCAATCTTCTGCACAGACAGTACTGACATGCCCCTGCCTAGAATATTACACACCCCCAGCCCCAGCAACTCTTCATCTCCCAACAGAACCAGGTGTGAGCACTTCAGCCTGGGCCAGAGTAACAAGACTGGGAAACAGAAGAAGATGACCAACATCCTTAATTACCAGGGAAATACCAATCAAAATCACAAGGTAGTACTTCACACACTAGGAAAGCTGAAATGAAAAGGACAAAAACAAGTACTGACACAAATGTGGAGAAATTCAATTCCTCAAAAGGGTAAGCGGGGCTGGGGCACAGCTTGGTGGAGAAACACTTGCCTAGCATGTGTGAGGCCCTGCATTCAACCCAGGACCACAAAAACAAAAAAGAAAAAGAAAGTTAAATAAAGAATTACCATATGACCCAGCAATTCTGCTTCTAGATACATACCCAAAAGAAGAGAAAACAGGTACTCCAATATTTGTACTCTGATGTTCACATCAGCATTATTCATAAAAGGAAGAAGGTGAAGGCAATCTAAAATGTCCATCAATGAATGAAAAACAAAATGGGGTATGTCCACACAGTACAAGAGCACTCGGCCACCTGAACAGAGACACTGACGCCCTTGAGAGCACTGGGCTAAGGGAAAAAGCACATCACAAAAGGCCACACACCCCAGGATTGCACTTACATGACACGTCCAGAACAGGCAAACCAGAGACAGAGGAGACGCGTAGCTGCCTAGAGCTGGCAGTGAGGAGCAAGGGGACAGGCTGCTGTGGGACAGGCTTGCCCTCTGGGGTGAAGGAACTTTGCTAAGCGCTGACGGTACTGCTGGTTGCACAACGCACACCAGAAGGCACCGAGACAGTTGCACGCTTGACACCAGGGACCCGTGTGGTACAGACTTCCTCAACATAACACCGCGACAAGGGAGAATGTCCCAAGTCCATGGCCCTCCAGTCTGAGCCCTGGTCCAAGGTCACAAGTCCAAGTCATCACAACAATGACAGGAAAGGGAGAAGTCTAGCAGCAGCAGCACCCACCACTCACTGCTAAGTTTCTTCAAGGCTGCAGCCCATGCCAGCCTCCTGGCATGCCTGCACTCCCCCTCACCAGCCTCGGCTGCTCCCTTGCTTACTCTGGGTCTCCCTCGAGAGTCTTCCTGACACCCTGTCTACACCGCTTCTCCAGCCCCCCTTATTTACTCTACCCCCTCAACCTGCATTCTCCTCGCGCATCTGCCCCCAACCGCCTCCCACACCAGCACAGGTACCAGCACCGGCTCCTGGGAGGCAGGGATCTGTTTGTTCACTGCTTTGTCCCCAGGGCCAGGCCCACAGGACACTCAGGAGCACAGAATAAGGAAGGGAGAGCTAATCCTCACCAAGAGAGGAGACCAAGCCGCTCAGCTCAAGAACAAGCACCTGCCCCAAGTTTCCAAGGCTTCCTCTCCTTATGGTTCCCCTCTCAGCAAACAGCAGGAACATCCTGAGACTGCAGAGCTGAGGGCATCTGAGGACTACAGCTGACGGCGGCTAGGCTGGCTCTGCACTCACTCTGCACCAGGCACCATGTCAGCTCCCAATTCCACACCAAAAGAGACTGAGGCGGGACACGCTCAAGACCAGCTGGGGCAGCACTGCTGGACTCCAACCCTCACCCTGTGCATCACCTGCTCCTGTAATTCCTTAGGTCAGGCCACGAGCACATCCAGCTCCCTCCGCCCCGGCAGGCCTAAGACCCAAAGCTCAATGCGCTCTTGGGGCTGCTCCAGGCCAATGGCCCAGTTCCCACAGCCAAGACTCAAGGACACCATATGGAATCTGGCAAGTGAGGAAAAAAACCCTGACGAGATCAGTATCACAAAAGTAAAAAACACTGATTTCTGGGAATAAAATCCCAGAGTCTGGGGCCTGGCTCTGCTGGCAAATTCTGGAAGTCAATGAACCATATTAAAAGACAGGCACTGAGCTGAGCACCATTTTACATTTCCTCAGTCAACCAGGGAGAAATACCAGATGAGGAAAGTGGGGCTCAGAGCAAAGACCCACATGCCTAGGCCACAGAACCAATAAGAACTTGGTTTTGAACCCAGATGGGCATGACTCCAACATTGACTCCTTAATTTTCACTTTTTTTCTCAAATTTTAGAGTAACTTTGTTATTGTAAAAAGCACATAATTAAAGCACAAAAATCTAGCCCCATTTTTTTCTTTTTTCTATTGCCAGGGTCGGAACACGGGCTACACATATGCTAAGCAATGTCTACCACTGAGCTACATCCTCAACCCTTTCTATTTTTGATTTTGAGACAGGATCTCACTCTGTCGCCCAGGCTGGTCTTGAATTCCTGAGCTCAAGCAATCCTCCTGCTTCAGACTCCTGGGTAGCTGGAACTACAGGTGTGTGCTATCATGGCTGGCTTAAATTTTTATTTTTATTTTATTTTTTTGTGGTGTTAGGGATGGAACCCAGGGCCTTGTCCATGTTCTGAACACAACCGAGCCCTTAAACGTTTAAGTGTACAGTATGATGGTATTAACTAGATGCACTTACGTGCTAACTATGCAAACCTCTAAATCTTTCTCATCCTGCAAAACTAAAACTCTGTACCCTCTGAACTCCCCTTTCCCCACCTCTAGCCATCATTCTTTTTTCTATTTCTAAGTGTCTGACTGTTTTAGTTACCTCTGTGAATGGAATCCTGCAGTACTGTCTTTTTGTGACTAGATCATTTTGCTTAGCACTTAGCATAATGTTCACAAGGTAGCAAATGGAAAGGATTAATTTTATAAACACGAATAACATTCCATTGTAAGTACATACATTAAAATGTCTTTATCCAATCATCCACCAACAGACAGTTAGGTTGCGTTTACCTCTTGGCTGTTGTAAATAATGCTATAACATTATTTACAATAGCACTCGGCCATGTGAGCTACTGGTGCACAAACGTCTCTTCATGACCCAAAATCCAAGCTGGGGCTCAGCTCAGTGGTAGAATACACACCAAGCATGCATGAGGCATCTTCAGTATCAAAAAAAAGGTCTGGGTAGATGTAGCTCAGTGGTAGAGCACCCATGGTTCAATCCCCAGTACCAAAAAGGAAAAAAAAAAAAAAATCATCTAAACCCTTCATTTTTTAGCAGGTGCTTCAGGGATCAACCAGGGTCTCATGCACAGTAGACAAGCACATTACCACTGAATTACCCTGCCAACTTGCCAAAATCTACTTTCTTTTTGCTCAGTTCGAGAACAAGCACCTGCCCCAAGTTTCCAAAACATCTCCTTGTTTTTGTGGTCCTGGGGATTGAACCCAGAGGCACTTAACCACTGAGCCATATCCCCAGCCTTTTTTATTTTTACTTTAAGACAAGGTTTTATTAAGATGCTGAGACTGGCTTTGAATTTTCGATCCTCCTGCCTCAGCCTCCTGAGTTACTGGGATTACAGGCATGTACCACTGCACCCATCCCAAAATCTACTCTGAATCATTAAGACCACCCTGCTTCTAGGATCAGGTGGGGTCAGAGGAGTTCATTCATTCACTTGCTAACTCAACTTTTTTGTCAGGCACCAATATGTAGCAGGCCCTATGCTAGGGCACAGCAATGACTGAGATGACCTCGGCCCTGCCCTCCTGGTTCACAGTGCTGTGTGGGACACAGACCTGTCCCACACAGAAATGACCTAGCATGTGCAGTGCAGCCTAGGGGAATGCTGACCCAGCCTGGGGAGCCAGCCTGGACCTTCCTACAGCAGGCCATCTGCTTATCTCCCATTTTCATGTCAACAGAGGACTTTGTTTCTTTAATCAAACCACTGACTAAAGAGCAATGACAGAACCAGAGTCAGGTACAAACTGAAACAGGGAGAGAGGAGGCACCAAGGACAAATCAGGAAGAGAGAAAGCAGCTGTGTCCAGACACACTCCTTCAGCCCATCAGCCACCCTCAGTTTCTTCACAGATGCCCTTCAGCCTCTTCTCTCAGCCCGAGAAGATGGGGGGCCTGCGTAAGCAGCCCATCCCCTCCTCAAAGCAGCCACCAGCCACTGGCCAGCCCTCTCCCACAGCCTGGCAGCACACTTCTGAATGCAGATCACGTTCTTATGCGGGGACACTGGCTGCTTGTACAGGCCTGTACCACAAAGCACCTCACAAACACTTGTTTCAGAGTTCTCCCAGTCTAGCAGTGGGGGGATGCCACCACCACTGTCCTGAGGGGAATCAAGCTGGGAGGCACCTTGCTAAGAAGGAAGCCCAGAATCCCAGGCCTCCTGAGTTTTCTTTCCTCTCTGCCACCCCTTGGCCTGGATCAAAATTCCAGCTCTATGCTACCACTCTACCACAATTACTGTCACTGACAGTAAGAGGTAATATTTACTGGACAGTGATTCCTCTAGGCAGGCTCACACTCAGAGGTCTACATGGCCAACACTAAGAAATCTGCAAGAGAGCTGTGTGCCACCATGCCTGGTTTTATTTTCTTCTTTTTCTGGGCAGTACTGAGGACAAGGGTGCTCTACCACTCCAGCCCTTTATGGTTTGTTTGGGTTTTTTAGTGGTAGACGGACACAATGCCTTGACTTTATTTACTTTTATGTGGTGCTGAGGATTGAACCAGGTGAGTGTTCTACCACTGAGCCACAACCCCCGCCCAACCCTTCATGTTTTTGACACAGGGTCTCATTAAGTTGCCCAGGTTGCCCTTGAATTTGTGATCCTCAGCCTATTGCTAGGATTATAGGCATGAGCCATCACACTTAGCTCAAGGGAGCTGTTCTTGTCTTCCGTTAACTGACGATAATCCCCAATCCCCTGCTTTGGTAATAACAGAACTCCATACCTGGTCAAGACCACCCAGAACAAAGTCTACACCTCTTAGCTTCCCTGGAGTTGTAGGTGACCATGGGACTACTTTCCAGACAATGGGATATGGGCAAAGGATCATGGGAAAACATCTAGGAACTTTCTTAACTAACATGAGCAACTCAACTTTGTCCCTTTTCTCTCCCTTCTTCCTCTCTGCTGGATGGGATAAAGACACGATGACTAGAACCCGAGCAGCTCTCTCAGACAGGAAAGAGAATCTGTATGCAGCAGAACCACAAACAAGTAGCTTAGATCCCAAACAGAAATGGCTCCTCTGTTCATCACCTTTGCATCATTGCTGCCTACCTCTCAGGCCTACTGGAAGAACTAGGAAGGATGTACCAAAGCAGTGGGCAGGGAGCCTGGCACACCATACCACCATAATAAATGGTAGCTATTACTGCCTGAATGCAAGTGGCTTCTGACCCACTGCTGGGGCCTCAACTATGACCAACACAGATCCATGCCCTGCCATCAGTCACATTCAAGTTATTCTGGTACCACTAGAGATGGTCTTTCTCACCACCCAGTGGATCCTTCCTGGGTGACATAGCAAGCAAGGAGCTCTTGAAGCTTCCTGCTCTCTGCAGAGTGGGATAAGAGCAACCTGCATTGATCTCTGAGTATCTGTGAGATTCAAAAACATCCACACAGATAGGGGCAGTGGCACACACCTGTAATCCCAGCAATTCAGGTGGCTAAGGCAGGAGGATCACAAGCTTTAGGCCAGCCTGGGCAACTTAGCAAGACCTTGTCTCAAAATAAAAATAAAAAGGGCTGAAATGTAAGCTCAGTGATAAGAGTACCGCTGGGTTCAATACCCAGTACAAAAAAAAAAAAAATCCACACATCTAAAACCCTCCCTGGTGCCAAAGAAGGGGCAATTAAGTGGCAACTACTATTGTTAATACTGTTTTCTTTGTCTTTTCTTTCAAACCACATTTGCTAGGTCCAAACTTGGGATGTAAATGTGATCCAAAAATACCTAGTTCCAATCTCAAAAAGTTGGGGGTGTGTATATGTATACATTCATAAATATGCTTTATATTATATATACATTTCAAATGTGTTACATTCCACAAAGGAGGACAGTGGACTATGATGGCATTTATAGGGGACATCTAACTCAGTTTGGGGTCAAGATAAGACTTCCCTGAAGAATGAGATCTAATAATGAACAGAAGTTAACCAGGATGGGAAGAGGTCATGCAAAGGTCCTGTGGTCAGAACCCTTGGGCAAATGGCAGAATGGCAAGGAGGCCACGATGGCTTAAGAAAAGTAATGAGGCAGAATGCAGTGGCATGACTATAGAGGTTGGAGCAAAAGCCAGCCCATGGTGGGCAGGGGTGTAACTAAGTGGTACAGTGTTTGATTAGCATACACAAGGCCCAGGGCTCCATCCCCAGCACTGGAGGGGAGTGGGGGGAGTGTCACACTAAAGGCTGTGGTGAGGAGCTTGAACACTAGGGAGCCAAGAAAGATTTCTGAGCAAGGGACAAAGTTAGCTTTGTGCTTTAGAGAGATCTTCCTGAGGGGGTGCACACCTGTGATCCAGGCAACACAGGAAACTGAGGCAGGAGGCCTCAGCAACTTAGTGAAAGCCTGTCTCAAAAATAAAAAGGACTGAGGATATAGCTCAGCAATAAAGCACCCCTCAGTTCAAGCCCACTGCCAAACAAAAAAAACAAAACAAACAAATAAACAAAAACACCTCTCTGGCCCTCTAAAGATGGTGGAAGAGAGAGAACCAGAAGCTAGGAGAACAAGAGGAGGCCGCACAGTGACATAGAGTGTCTATGCAAAATCATCTAACAGAATTGAACCTGGTAAACAGGCCCATTTCAAGCTGGGGACCCAAGGACAAGGAGGAGTTAAACAGTGAGGGGAGGAATTACAGGCCAAGGCCCTGTGGTGGCAGAAGTGGAAAAAGGCCAATGGCACTGTCCAAGAAGAAGCGGAGAGGCCAGTAGAGGACAGACCACAAGGGCTTTGTAGGTCAAGACATGGAGTTTGTTTTTTTTTCTCCAAAAGCAACTGAAGCATCAAACAGGAGAGGGAAGTGGTCAGATGTCACTTAGTGAATACTGATGGCATGGCTACTCTGTGCCAAACCAAACCTCAAGAGTGGTGAACACTCTAGAGTCCCAGGAACACAGCAATACGCAACACAGATGACGTTCGACGTGGAAGAGGCAGTCTTGTGTCTGCACTGCTCAGTGTTACAAAGTCCTCCCTTCTTCCTGCCAATGCCACATCTGCACTCAGAGGCTGCCCCAAACTGTATGCTATCACACATACATCCTCAGGCCCTCCCTGTTGATCCTACTCAAGAAACAATGAGGGGGGCTGGGGCTGAGTGGTAGAGCACATGTCTAGCATATGTGAGGCATTGGGTTCGGGTCTCAGCATCACATATAATAAAATAAAGGTCCATGAACAACCAAATTTTACCTGGATGACCAGGGCTCCACCCACCAGAGAATCTCCCACCCCAGACAAAAGGTGGGTCACTCACAATCTTTTCATAGTATTCCCGCCTCCGTTCTGCCCTCTTCTTGTAGTCAACCATCATGCCTCGAAGCTTCCGCTCATGCTTCCGAGCCTCGTGCCACATTGTGGTGAGGCCAAGCCTGAGGCCTCAACCTAGGGGACGAGGGGATGAGGAGTGTCAGATGGGCAGAACCAGTCAACTAACAAGTGGTGCCATGTCTCAGCTTAGGGGGAAGAGAATTGAGGCCGGGATCTGAGGGCCTGATGCTCAAGTGTATCCCTGACAGCTCGGACCCAGGAGCTTGAGCATTCTGACAGCGCCTTAGGTGACTGGCGAGAGCACCTCAGGGAAGGAGTGTCCTAGATTCCATGAGCAGAGTGGGGATGAAAGGTTGTGGAACGGAATGTCTGAGGCAGAACCCCGAGCAGCTAGGGCTGACGCCCAAGGGAAGAGCTGAAGGGCTCTGAGCTGAAAGGGCTCTGAGAGGGGCCACCCGTGGGGCTGGGTGCGGGGACGGTCTTGCAAGTGATATGGACGAAAGCAGGTGGAGGAAGGGCGAAATTTCACCGGAACACTGGCGTGGCGGGCAGGCGGGGGTCGAGGACAGGTGAAGGGCGTGGATGGACGATGCTGCTGGGGGGGGGGGGAACGTGGGGTCTGCTCAGAGAGAGTAGGGCTGAGGGGTAAAGAAGGGCTGTGTGGAGGGAGAGGAATCCAGGTAAAATGCCTGGAAGGAGGTGGCTGCCAGGAGAGGGTGGGCTGAGTCGGGGTCAGTGTGTGTGGACAGGGGCGGAGCCCACGAGTAGCGACTGAGATTGTGGCCCGGGTCAGGGCCGAGTCGGACGACGCGAATCCGGCCCCCGTCCGGCCAGGGGCGCGGCCTGACGTCCCGTCAGGACGAAGGGGTTGCGGGCAGAGGGCCGTCGGAGCACAGGCCCGGCGGGACCCCACAGCGCCACCAGGAGAGCCCGAGACCGGGGGACAGCTAGGTTGACGCCGCCAGAAAGCCAAAGTGGTCGGGGCCCGACGCCTGCACTCACCGGCTGGTCGCCGCCTCCCACTCTTGCGCTCGCGCGCGGCCCGCACCGGAAACGGAAATGGGGAGCCGTGCAAGGGGTGGGTGGTACGTTGCGAACGCACTTCCGCCGGCGCTGAGGCGGGCGCGTCCTGGGTGGGCGGGACCTGGAGGCGGCAGAGGAGGTCCCCCGGGGCTCTGCGGCCCGACACGCTCGGTGTTTCCCAAGCGGAGACAAGGAACCCCCAAGAATCAACATTTTTATTGGGAAAATGCCCGCCCACTGTCAGGTCTGGGGAGGGGCCGCGGGTCTGCCGCCTTACTCCTGTAGAGTTTATTTTCGGGATACGTCCAGAGAAGGTACCCCCCACGGGTGGGCGTCTCACCCGGGCCGCGCCCCTTTCTCTCTCCCGACTCCGTTTTCTCTTTTGTAAAATAAGGGGAGACCAGTGCTGCCGAGCTTCTCGCCAAGCTGAGCATGTCCGATTAGGATACCGAGGTCGAAGGCTGACCAAGGGCCCAGGGGGATGGGGGCGTTGGACCGACCCTTGGCCGGGTTCGCAGGGTCCCTCCAGCTACCTCCCCACCTAGTGCCTCTCCTCTGGCGCCGCGGGCTACGTGGCTTCAGGCCCCGGGGACAGGAGGCCACTCCCGAAGGCTGCCTCGCGGTACTGATTGGGGAACATGTTGCTGCCCACGAGGCTGGCGGTGCCTCCGTCCCCCGGGCCGGCGGCTGAGTAGGAGTCCAGCGTCAGTGGCTCGGGGCCAGGGGGCTCCCCGACTGCGACCCCTGCACCCCCGCTGGCGGGGACAGAGCTGACGAGTGGCGGCGCTGGGGGCAGCAGGTCCAGCATAGTGAAGAACGTGGGGGTCGTGGGGTCATAGGCAAAGCTGTCATCCAGGAGGTCAGGCTCGCAGGGAGGCTCCAGGCCGGGCAGGGACACGGTACCGGGGAAGAATTCTGTGTCTGGCAGCAGGGCTGAGGGCGGGAGGTACGGGCCTAGGGGATGAGAAGAGAAGTGCAGCGGACTTAGGGCCAACTTTTGGCAAAACACTAATCCAGACACAACACCCCATACTAAATGCATTGTTGAGGTAGAGGCTATCACCATTCTCATAATAAGCAAACTGAAACTCTGAGACAAAATAACTGGAAGTCACACAAAGCTGTCTAGTTGGGAAACCAGGACCAAACCCACACTCCTGCAGGGCTGTGAGCAGTTTTCACCAAGAATGTGGAAAGGGAGGAGCTGCTATGCCACCTTCAATGAAGCAAAATCTCCACACCAGTGAGATTCCTAAATTATCAGTCCCCAAGATGGAAAGTGAAATGATAAGTGTTATTGGAGCCTGTCTTCCTCTTTTTCGGATAAGACAAACCTAATCAACAAAGGTTAATACACCTGTAATCCCCGCAGCTCTGAGGCTAAAGCTGGAGGATTGGGAGTTCAAAGCCAGACTCAGCAACTTACCAAGGTGCTAAGCAATTCAGCGAGCCCCTATCTCTAAATAAAATGTAAAAAAGGGGGGATGTTGCTCAGTGGTTAAGCACCCCTGGGTTCAATCCCCAGTACCATAAGAAAGAAAAGAAAAAAAAAAAAAAGACGAGACCCAGACCTAGTCATAGTCCCTGCATCCCGTACAGCTTAATGCGGACACGGGACTAAGTGGAACCTGGGCAGGAGGTGGAAACTGCAAATTGAAAATGGAAAGAGCTTGGGTTTCTGATGACCTTGTAGCCACCAGATCATACCTGGAGAGCTATCGTTGTGCTCTTTATGTGAGAGGAGAAGTTCTTTTTTTTTTTAATCTTTTCTTTATTGTTGACTGACCTTCATTTCATTCATTTATTTATATGCGGTGCTGAGACTCAAACCCAGTGCCTCACACATGCTAGGCAAGTGCTGTACCGCTGAGCCCCAGCCCCAGCCCCAAGTTCTATCCTGTTAAAGCTCCTTTTATTTTGGGTTTTGATATGAATACAGTTAAATATGAGCATAACAAATGCACATGGCATTCCTGATTTCTAGCAAATTCCTAATATACTACTATAATAAATAACTATGACATGATCTCACTAAATTCTGACAAGGACCTTAACAGTGAGAGGTTACAGACGCAAATGATGGGAACACCAGCTTAAGGGAATAATTCTATAAATTGGGCTTACTGTGCTGACCTCCACATGCTTGCTGTTTTGGGGGCTGGGGTTCTGGGAGTTGAACTCAGAGGCACTCAACCACTAAGCCCCATCCCCAGCCCTATTTTGTATTTTTTTAGAGACAGGGTCTCACTGAGTTGCTTAGCACCTTGCCATTGCTGAGGCTGGTTTTGAACTCAGGATTCTCCTGTCTCAGCCTCCCCAGCCACTGAGATTACATGCTTGCACTATGGTGCCAGGCCCATGCTTGCTTTTAAAACACAATTTACCCGAGGCCCTGTCTGGCTTAAGTTCATAGGATATTCCTCAGAAATAACCTGTAACCTGCACGGGAAATGCAGGCCTGAAATGCTGATAAGAACACAAGTTACCCTGGGGGGGGGGGGGTAGATTTTTGTGACCTTTACACAGAAAGCAGGGAGATAAGAATAATTGCCCCTAACCATAAAATCTATAAGAACAAGTTCCAATTAGAACTGGTCAGCAAGGGTCAAAGTGACTCAGAGTTGCCTTGGAACTTTACCATGTGCAATGGGGACTTAAAAAGTCATCCTGAAATCAAAAGTCATCAGAAATCAAGAGGTAGGGCTGGGGATACTGTTCAGTTGGTAGAGTGCTTGCCTCACATGCACAAGGCCATGGGTTCAATTCCCAGCACCACAATAAATAATTAAATAGGTTGGCTGGGGTTGTGGCTCAGGGGTAGAGCACTTGCCTAGCACACCTGAGGTTGCAGGATTCAATCCTGAGCACCACGGAAAAAATAAATGAAGTTAAAATAAAAAGTCATGGCTGGGGTTGTGGCTCAGTAGTGGCACACTTGCCTGGTATGTGTGGGGCACTGGGTTCGATTCTTAGCACCACATATAAATAAATAAAGGTCTATCAACAACTTAAAAAACAAAACAAAAGCTAAGAGGTGGACCTGGGGGGCGGGGGGACTCTGGAAACTTCCTGGATCCCAATAAAACTGTAGGGCAGGATGGGTATACCATCCACCTCCTCTCTGAGAGGACCCACCCTCTCCCTTGAGAGTGTCCCCTTCCCCTTCTCCTGTCCCTTCTTATAAACTCATGCCTGCTTCTGGGTGATATTTCTGAAATCTTTCTGGCATAATCATGAGAACTGGGGACAGAGGCTGCCTTAGCTCTGTGACACGCTCTAGCCCTATAGCATGAGGTAGAGTCGCCATCTGACAGATGAGCAAACTGAGGCATAGATGTCACAAAGCCACAAAACTGTGGACCCATTTCAAACCCAAAGTAAATCCTCAGGCTGTGCTGCTAACCGTTACCCTAGTGCCAAGGTGGCTTTGCCTCAGGAATGAGGGAGAGAAACAGATCAGATAGATGAATGATCAGATAGAGAGAATGAATGAATGAACAGATAGAGAGGATGAATGAACAGATCAGATAGAGAGCTCTGGGGACCAGAGAGGTTGGCGGAGTGCGCTAGAATTGGTGGTTGCTAGGGCTGGAGCTGTTGGGCCTTGGTTACAAGCTGAGAGAGGGTGGGGACAACCTGTAGTACTGCTAACTTCCAGGGTGGGACTGGCTGGAGTGGCCATGGCTCAGCAGCCGGAGTGGTTGGTGGCTGGCTCAGGGGTGGGTGCCCTGGACTGGCTGGGTGTTTGGCAGGAAGCTTTTTTAGAGCTGGGGGTTAGTGGGTCAGTGGGTGGGAAGGCTTCTTTGGATGGCAGCCAGTTAGGATTGGAGTGGTGAGACCTGGAGCTGGCATGTGAGCTGAAATGAAGGCAGTAGTAGCACAGCCCAGAGGGTGGCCAGGATGGAGAAGGCCCTGAACTTGAGATTGGCTGGCTGCGTCCACCATTGTTGATGTACCATCCAATACATGGCGCACCCACATCATCCCTCCATACAGATGCCTAGTCTTCCAACTCCCTGCTCCACTGCAGATCTGACACATGGTGACCTCAGGTAAGAGACTTCACCTCTCTAGGCCTCAGTTTTTTTGCCTATAAAATGGGTGGAATGACAGAACCTCCTTCATAGGATGACTGTGCAGACTAAATGAGTAGCCCATACCGAGCACTGAGGGCTCTCTTACAGTGTCCGTAAAAAGATAAACACTTAAAAAAAATTTTTTTATGCCAGGTGTGACAGTGCATCCTGTAATCTCAGCTACTGGGGAGGCTGAGGAGGGAGGACCATGACTTTGAATTCAGCCTGGGCAACTTAGTGAGATTCTGTTTCAAAAAAAATTTTTTTTTGTTCATCCCAGAGCACCGGGTTTCCAGGGCAGTCTTCTATCCAGCTACTGTGAGACTGAACAGAGCAGCACCTTCAGGATGGCCATTCTCTACATTAAATTTGAAAAGCTCAGCGAGGTGAGTACATAGTGAGAGCAAATCATCTGCCCAGCAGGGATGGGATGGCAGCCTCCTTTTTTTTTTTTTTTTTTTTGGTACTGGGGATTAGACTCAGGGGCACTTGGCCACTGAGCCACATCCCCAGCCCTGTTTTGTATTTTATTTAGAGACGGGGTCTCACTGAGTTGCTTAACGCCTCACCATTGCTGAGGCTGGCTTTGAACTTTTGATCCTCCCGCCCCAGCCTAGGGATCATAGACTTGCACCACCGGCCTGGCGTGGCTGCCTCCACTCTGTCTCCAGAACCTATTCCTTTCCTTTGCTGTGGCCGGCTCTGTTGTGAGGGCTGGCCGGGGGAGCTGCTGGAGGAGCAGGGCTGCCGTGCTTCCTCAGCCCATCCCAGGGCCAGAGGCTCGCAGGAAGCCGGGACCCACCTGGGCCGTGGCTGGGCAGGAAGTGGTCCAGGAAGACTGGCTTCTTCTTCCGTCGTTTGCTTTCGATGCCATGGGGGTCTAAAGGAAGGGGAAACAGAGATAAGGACCCCTCAACTGTGGGACAGGGAAGGACAGTGGGATCAGCCATCCCCTCCAAAGGTCCTGGGGATGGGTGTGGAAGGGGGCACAGGGAACACACCAGAGCCGTTCAGCTCCCCGAGGACATCGGGCAGTCCCCGTTTCCGCTTCTTGTCCACACCATAGCTGTCTGTTAGAAACACGGGGTGGGGGGGGGGTGGTACAAAGAACAATCCATCAGCAACAGTAGCAAAGCAATAATTAATCTTAGACCATTTAGGAAGAGTTTGAGCTGGTTCTTGACCAACCAATGCAAACAGATATCCACATCCTAATCAGAATAAAATCTAAATTCACTTCCGGCATACCCACCTTTTGGTTGTTCCTGAAACATGCCAAACACAATCTGGCCCAGGGCCTTTGCACTTGCTATTTCCACTGCTTAACATGCTCTCCTCAACTCCCACCCATCAGTCTTCCTGTGTTCTCGGCGCAGCTGCTCTCCCTGACCCCTGAGGCTGAGCAGGTGCCCCAAGTCCCCAAGCCACCCCATTCCAGTCGAGTCACTCTGACCGTCACTGTGGGGAAGAGCTGTTCCCCCATCAAAGGACTGTAAGCCTCATGAAGGAAGTGCCAGGGGCTCTCTTGGTCACTGCTGTGTCCCCAGCACAAGCCAGCATAGGGCCACACTGAGCAGAGAGGCTGAAGGAATGCGTGAGAAAACCCTAACGCCCCGTGACAGGTACCGTGTCTGTTTTGCACAGAGAAGGGCTACAGCCCTGAGAGGCCACGGTCACAAAGCCAGGAGGCAGCAGCGCCCCCAGCTAGGCAGCCCCCCCCATTTCTGCCTCCTCCTGGTCTGCTTCATCCCTGGCCAGGCTGGGCTGGCCGGTGGGTCACCCGGGCGAGCCGTGGTTACCATGGTCCCGAGGAAGGTACGTGAAGGGCAGCGGCTCGCTGCAGACCCCGTCCGTGAGCCGCTGCAGGAAGACGTTGACAGTCACAGGCTCCACGATCTCCAGGTCCTCATACGGCGGCGTCTTGAACACGATGGCAATCTGGCGGTGCACGTCGGCCTGGGAGAAGTCGGCCCGGCCTTCCCAGGAGGCTGTGCTGAACACCACCGAGATGTCCTCTGGAGGGAGAAAGAGATGCCAGTGGGGACGAGTGGCCCTCTGAGCCGAACCAGCTCAGCCACCCTCAAAATCAGCCCTCATATTCCTAACGTGAAGCTAATCACCTGGCAGGTAGCTTTCACCTGAGCACGTCCCGTGGGACAGTCACTAAGTAGTTCATATATTTTCATATGCAGATGCTCCTTGGCTTATGATGGCATTACATCCCAGCAAACCCACCAGAGCTGAAAATATCTCAGGTCAAAAATGCCCCAGGCCAGGCAGGGAGGCTCACACCTGTAATCCCAGCCACTCTGGAGGATCAAAAGTTCAAGACTAGGCAGGGGAACTTAGCAAGACCCTCTCTCAAAACAAAACAAAAAAGAGCAGGGAATGTAGCTCAGTGGTAAAGTCCCCCTGGGTTCAATTGCCAGCACCAAAAATTACATAAATAAAAAGAAAAGGCATTGACTGTAGGTAAACTATGGAGCACTGTCGCTTAGCACGGGTACACTTGGCCTGTTGGTATTTTCCCCTTGTGACTGTGGGGCTGAGCAGGAGCTGCAGCTGATTTTCTGGGTGGAGGTACCAGAGCCTGAACTCAGGGGCACTCGACCACTGAGCCACATGCCCAGCCCTATTTGGTATTTTATTTAGAGACAGGGTCTCACAGAGGCTGGCTTTGAACTCGAGATCCTCCTGCCTCAGCTTCCCAAGCTGCTGGGATCTCAGGCGTGCGCCACCGCTCCCAGCATAGTTAACGTATATTAATTTCACACCATCATTCTAGAGTCAAAAATCCTAAATTGAGCATCCTAAGTTATCTCATCTGATCCTTAGGGCAACACAAGAAGCAGGGAAAATCACTGTCCTCACAATGTCAGAGGGCCCCACGACCATGTTCAGATTGAGCCATGGACTCTGAGGACCCGCAGAGTTCAATGGGCGGCCATGTCCATGACTGTGATCTGTTATAGTGACAGTACAGTGACAGGGTGCTGGTGCCTGCAGCGCAGTCCAGGGGGAACCAGGCACAAGGTGCCAAGAGTCCTTCCCGTGAGCAGTCACAGGGGCCATGGGAGCCCCCGAGCAACAAACTAAAGCAACACATCCACTGAGGAAGCTCAGCCCCCATGTCTGCCTGTCATGACAGGCCACTCCTGGCCACTAGGGAAGGTGGGAACCTCCCCAAACCCATGTTCCCAGAACCTCTGGGAGCAGAGCTAGTTATTTAAGTTATTTGTTTCTTTGTTTATTATTTTTGTGGTACTGAAGATGGTACCCAGGGGTGTTCTACCACCAAGCAACACCCCCATCCACCCCTTTTTAATTTTTACTTTATTTTTTTGGTACTGGGGATTGAATCCAGGGGCGATTTACAGAGTTACATTCCCACCCTTTTTACTTTTTTCTTTTAACTTTATTTATCTATCTATCTATTTATTTATTTAATGTGGTGCCGAGGGTCGAGCCCAGTGCCTCACTTGTGTTAGGCAAGCACTCTGCCCCTGAGCCACAACCCCAGTCCTACTTGTTTCATTTTCAGACAGAGTTTCACTAAGTCGCTGAGGCCCTCACTAAATTGCTGAGGCTGGCCTTGAACTTGAGGTGCTCCTGCCTCAGCCTCCTGAGTCACTGGACTACAGATGTGCATCACTGCACCCAGCTCTAAGAAGGGCTTCTGAAGGACAGAGGTCTCAGATCTGCTATGTGCACTCTTTTCTGCACACCCTCATCAGAGAAGGGAAAACCAAGGCTTGGAGGCACTGAGGCTTCCCACAGCTGCTGGAGGGAAGTCGGGCTCACTGAGACGCCTGCCTGTTTCTTTTTCGCATCTCACTGAATTGCCTCTTGACACACCAGTGCTGAGGTTCTAGGTGACAGATACATACAGGTTGCCTCTGTGTCAGACAAAAACCCTATGAAGAAGATGCCATTAGGTACCCTGTTATACAGAGAAGGAGACAAAGATACAGAGCGGTGAAGTCATCTGTCCAATGTCACACGATCAGCGAGCAGTGGAGCCTCGGCGGGGACCCAGGAGGCCACAGCTCTTCCCACCAGCTCTGCCAGGGCTCGAGGAAGGCAGTGGCATTGCTGAGAGCAGTCTCCTCACTGTGACAGGAAAATCAGACGACCTCAGGGGTTGCTGAGAAGATCACGTGAGTCGGCCCAGGACTCCAAGAGCATGACTGTTGTCACGATCAGTGCTATGATCATCACCATCACCTTAAACACGACTCTGGAAAGTGACTTTTCTCCAGATGTTTTTTCAAATCTGCCTCCTTCCCTCATTTGAAAAAAAAAAGTACTAAATATTATTTTTACCAACTTCCTGTGATTTTTCTCCAACTCTATATTTTTCCTCCTAGAAGAAACGCTGATGGTAGAAGGATTGTTCTTTTCAGAGTCTTCTTTTCTAAATTCAAATCCTGTCTCCACCTGACCAGCTGTGTCACCTCAAGCAAGTTACTTAACCTTTCCATGCCTCAGTTTCTTCATCTATTAAATGGGGAATAATAACAAGGTCTGCCTCATAGGTTCTGGATCTTTCCAGGCTGCCACCTGGTGAGGTGACTGGAGGACCTAACAAACCATGCACACCAAGAGCACGCAGCCAAGCTTGGCATGTAGTTAGAACACGGCAATGTCATGGGCCAAGGATGTAGCTGGTGGCCGAGTGCACCCTGAGGATGCAGGTGGGGTCATGGGTTCCATCTCCAGCACCACAAAAAACAGAGAGAGAGACAGATGTCATTATTGTTGGTGGTGATGCTATTTATGATACAGTCACATGATGGAAAATGTAAAAGAATCCCAGCACAGGGGCTGTAATCCCAGCTACTCAGGGGGCTGAGGCAGGAGGATGGTATGGTTAAGGCCAGCCTCAGCAACTTAGTAAAATCCTGTCTCAAAATAAAAAGTAAAAAGGGCTGGGGATATGGCTCAGTGGTAGAGCTTGCTTAGCATGTGTGAGTTCAACCCTCAGTACTGGAAAGAGAGAGGGTGGGGGTGAGGGGGGAGAGAGAGAGAGAGAGAGAGAAACGGCAGAAGATATAGAAAAAATGGATCCAGCACAAGGGCAGACAGCCTTTGGCCCTCTCCTCAGCTGGTGGTTCTGGGTGGAGGTAGGGTTTTTTGGTTTTTTTTAGTTGTTAGTTTTTTGGGGTTTTGTTTTGAAGCAAGGGACATTTGAATAGATGCAAATGCAAGAAACTTCTTTTGTCCGGTTTGCTTTCTTAGCATCCTTTACCACAACTGTCATAAGGGTCCCCGGGTCTTGCCTGTGCTGGGCCAGCGCCTCCCACTTGCCCCCCCTAAAGCACATAGGCAATTTCTCCACCAAGATCAGAGCCTCCTGGATGGGGAGCAGACTGACGGCCACGCTGCCAGACACCCAGCCTGGGCCCCTCACAGGCCACCACCTTTGCTCAGGGACAGGTGCCAGGATGAACCCACTGCCTGAGCCGTCTGACCCCAAAGGCAGGGTTCTGGATCTTTCCAGGCTGCCATCCTGGTTAACCACACCCCCAGCCCCCTCCCCCCGGGCTCACAGCCAGGCCCTCACCTTTCTGCACCTTGTCACACAACAGGTAGAGCTCCTCGCCCCCCGTGCACGGCCCGCTCTCCTTGTTGATGCGGCAGATCCGCAGCTCAGACGTGTTCGTGGATTCTGGGGAGGAGGGAGAGGAAGAGGCCAATAAGGGAAAACAAGAATCCAGGTACCTTTCCACCCAGTGGCGGTGGGAAGGCAGGAAACTGAGGAGGCAGGGCACCCTGGTTCAGATGGAGGAAGAGGCCACCGGTCGGCCAGCAGTGCCGCTGCTCTGCCTGCCCAGCAGTCCCAGCCCTTCTTCTGTGAAGAGTCCTCTTGGGGACACCACTTTCCCTCAAGACACACCTCCCTCTGCCCCTGGCCATTTCAGTCAAGGGGATTGGGTAGGATTGAGTCCCTTCACCAGCTCAGCAGTGATCACAAGCCCCAGATCGGGCCAATCAGATCATCACCTCCCCTACCCACAGCTGATTGGTCAAGGAGGAGCAAATGACCAAACGCAGGCCAATGAGAGACAGCCCTGAGATTTTTTAGCAAAAATACTAGGAAAGAGCCAGGATTAGTAAGGCAGGCCTGTAATCAGCAACTTGGGAGGCTAAGACAGGAGGGTCCTAAGTTTGAAGCCAGGTTCAGCAACTTACTTAGCCCCAGTCTCAAAACACAATATAAAAAAAGGTGTGTTGGTGCAGACCTGTAATCCCAGTGACTCAGGAGGCTGAGGCAGGAGGATGGCAAGTTTGAGGCCAGCCTGGGCAACATAGCAAGATTTTGTAGCAAAATAAAATAAATAAGAAAGGGCTGGGAATGTAGCTCCATGGTAGAACATCTCTGGGTTCAATTCTCAATATTGAAAAGAAATTTGGGTGAGAGATGCTAAAAGCTCTCATTGGAGTGCAGGAGAGGTATCAGCACACAGCCCTGGAAGGCCCTGGCAGGATGGACTCTTAACATGCAGCAAGCACAACTGGGGGACAGAACTAGATGGACCCCCCCAGTGACACCGTGAGGTCTGAATGCAACCAGACCTGAAGCACTGTGCTAGTCCTCTACTGGGTGTTTTGTTTGTTTGTTTTGTTTGTTTTTGGTACTGGGGATTGAATCCAGGGAAGCTTAACCACTGAGCTATATCCCCAGCCCTTCACTGTTTTTTATTTTGAGACAGGACTCAGTAAGTCGCTGACCATCTTACTAAGTTGTTGAGGCTGGCCTCAAACTTGCAATCCTCCTGCCCCAGCCTTCCAAGTTGCTGGAATTGCAGGCATGCACCACTGTGCTTGGCTTGTCCTTCCTCATTTAGATGCTGTGGCAGTCACTGCAGGTTGGCTAAAGCCGAACAGCTATTCCCAAGCTCCTCTTCCAGTCTGTACCCCTCTATTCAGGTTGAAAAGCCTGTATACTTACATACCCAGATCCCCTTGCAACTCAGTATGGCCATGGGACCAAGTTCTAACCAATAAGACATCAGCAGAAGCCTTCCAAGGAGATTCTGGAGAATATAAACTTTTTATCTACTAAAGAAAGAGGTATGGGGCTGGGGCTGGGGCTCAGTGGCAGAGCGCTTGCCTAGCATGCATGAGGCACTGGGTTCGATCCTCAGCACCACATAAAGATAAAATAAAGATACTGTGTCCACCTAAATCTAAAAAATAAATTTAAAAAAGAGAAAGAGGTATTATTCTTTGTGATGCCTCTTCCCTAGGGCTCTATGGGGTCACTGTTGTGCATTCTCAAAATCAGGAAGTACCATTTTCATTAGCTACACAGTAAATGCTGATCCCCCAAAATAGGCAGGGTGCGATCTGTACAACCACACAGAGTGATGCTGCCTATATCATGTCTTGAACACAAATATGATGTCTGGAGCTGTGGCAGTCATCTTGTGACCGTGAAGGAAAAGCTGAGAGTCACAGAGCTGTGGAAACTTCATGATGTTAAGCAGCTAAACCAATGTGCACAAACTTAGTCAATGAGACAAATAATTCCCTGTTTGTTCATGCCACACTAAGGGGGCTTTCTGATCCCTGCTGCCAAGGACAATCCTAACTGCCACAGCACCCTGCACTCACTCTTGTCATAAACGGGCTCAGAGAGCACAGGGTCCATCCGCCGGGTCTGTCCCTGCTGGTCCCGGTAGGAGGCCTGGAAGCAGATCCTCACCACGTTCATGTCCACCTCCTGGTGGTTCTTCAGGGAGCCAGCTGCGGTGGGGACACAGGAAGGCTGAGGATGGGTGGGGCAGGGGCGGGGCCTAGAGGGGGCGTGGCAGGGGTGGGGCCGGGACTCACCATTGTAGGGGTCGATGCCCTGCTGGATCTTGCGCTCGATGGCCGCCTCAATCTCCTTCTTCCTCACGCACTGAATACCCAGGTTGTTAAAGCTGGGGGAGGAGTGCTCGTGAGGGGGTGCTGCGGGCCTCAACGCTGCTGGGGGCTCCCCCTGGACCCGGCATCAGGAAGGGCCTGGGGTTCTTGGGAAGACCCGGGAACCTGCCTTATCTGTACCACTGGAACACCCTGGCCAAGCTCCTTCATCCAACAGCACATGGGGAAGGACGCCCCCCCTCCCCGCTTGCTGGCCACACTGTGAACTGCAGGACTTGGCAGTAATTGGTTGCCCAAGTGCTTCCTGAGCATCTCTACATGCCAGGCACTGTGCTAGGCTCTGGGAATAGAGCAGGGAGCAGAAAAGATGAAATCCCTGCTCTCAGTGAGCTTATGTTTTCACTAAATTGATAAATCATTAAAATTATACATCAAGGCGGGCGCAGTGGTGCACACCTGAAATCCCAGAAATTCAGGAGACTGAAGCAGGAGGATCCTGAATTCAAAGCCAGCCTCAGCAACCTAGTAAGGCCCTAAGCAACTCAAGGAGACCCTGTCTCAAAATAAATAAAAAGGGCTGGGAATGTAGCTTAGTGGTTGAGCACCCTGGGTTCAATCCCTAGTACCCCAAAAATTATATATCAGCTTAGAGTCAGCAACTTCATTTTTAGAAACTAATCCTAAAGAATGACATACCTTTTTTTTTTTTTTTAGTACCAGTGTTTGAACCCAAGGACACTTAACCACCAAGCCACATCTCCAGCCCTTTTTTATTTTATTTAGAGACAGGGTTTCACCAAGTTGCTTCAGGGCTTGACTATGTTGCTGAGGCTGGCTTTGAACTCACAATCCTCCTGCCTCAGCCTCCTGAGCCACTAGGATTACAGGCGTGTGCAACTACACCTATCTAGAATGACATATCTTTAAAGATATTTCTCAGCACTGTTAGCCACAGAGCAACAAGACACTGGAACCATCAGAGGTGCCCATTAATAGAGAGCAGTTTCAGTTAATTGTGTCCATCTATGAAGTAGAATACTAGATAGCCAAGACAAAGGATAGGGCAGCTCTGAATATATTGATAGGGAATGAGGTCTAAGATGTACTGTTACAAAAAATCAAGATGTAGGGGCCCAAGGTTGCCGCTCAGTAATACAGCACTTGCTTACTTGCTTAGCATGCACAAGGCCCTGGGTTCCATGCCTAGCAGCAGAAACAAAAAACAAGTTGTGAATGTCTGTTAAAAAAGATTAGTGCTGGGGGACTGCAACTGTGGCTCAGCGGTGGAGCGCTAGCCCAGCATGTGTGAGACCCTGGGTTCAATCCTCAGCACCACATTAAAAATAAGTAAATAAACAAATAAAATAAAGATATTGTGTCCAACTACAACTAAAAAATAAAAATAAAAAAAAAAAATATGTGGTGCTGGGGCTGGGATTGTGGCTCAGAGGTAGAGCACTTGCCTAGCACGCACAAGGCCCTGGGTTCGATCCTCAGCACCACATAAAAATAAATAAATAAAACAAAGGTATTGTGTCCAACTACAACTAAAATATATATATATATAAAAAAAAAGATATGTGGGCTGGGGTTGTGGCTCAGCGATAGAGCCTCACACGTGCGAGACCCTGGGTTCGATCCTCAGCACCACATAAAAATAAACAAGTGAAATAAAAGTGTTGTGTCCAACTACAACTGAAAAATAAATATGAAAAAAAAGATATATGCTTGCATATATGTGGCATATCTTCAGTTGTTTCTAGGAAAACATAGCTAGAAGGCCAAAGATTTTCTTTCTGAGAAAAGAATTATTTTTCAGTGCTGGGGATGAACTCAGGGCCTTGGGAATGCTGGGCCAGCGTCTGTCCCTCAGCCACATCTCCAGCCCTTTTTATTTATTTACTCTTTTATCTTGAGGCAGGTCTCCTGAGTTGCCTAGCCTGGCCTCAAACTTGCAACCCTCCAGCCTCAGACTCCAGAGCGGCTGTGATCAAGGGTGCCGTGTTTTTTACATCTTTCATTTGATAAAAATATTTAGATTGTAGAGTGAGAGAAGGACTAAGCCTTCAGATAAGTCGGCTCTGGAGTCCAGCCCCAGCCCTGCCATCGACTACCTGCTCCTCCACCTCTCTGAGCCTCAGTTTCTTCCTCTACAAAACGGGGTGCACAGCACTGGAGGGCACGGGGTATGGCAGGGTTGCAGGCTGAAGTGAGGCCGTGGCTGCCCCAGACCTCAGTTTCCCCAGGGGGAAATGCAGCAGGGAGGGTGTGGCCAGGCTGGCCCTGCCCTAGTTTCCCTGGGCGACCTTCGGCCCCTCAGAATCTCTATGACCGAGGGTCAGGGGTCAGAGATCAGGTACCTGTGGCGGGGGCTGACATGAGGCCGCAGCCGCACCCTGCAGACACCGTCCGTACAGTCCTTCCCCACGAGGCTGTGCGGGTGCACCCGATGGGGCCAGTCCTTCCACACCAGGCACGCGGTCACCTCCACCTCCCGCAGTCCGCCACAATCCCGGAGCTGCAGGGAGACAGGTGCACTTTGGCGGGATCATCACAGACAAGCCACGCTCCCTGGGGCTGTCCTTGGTGGATCCCCACCTACCCAACCCCCCACCAGGGCCATGGAAGGGTGTTTGCTTAAGACCCCTCTCCTTCTCAGTAGCTTGGGAGGCCCAGGCAGGAGGATTGTGAGTTCAAAACCAGCCTTGGCAAAATCAAGGCACTAAGCCACTCAGTGAGACCTGTCTCTAAATAAAACACAAAATAGGTCTGCGGATGTGGCTCAATGGATGAGTGCCCTGGGTTCAATCTTCGGTACCCCCACCCCACAAAAAAAAAGAAAAGCGAAGACTCTTTTCCTATCCAAAGCCGGAAACTTCCAACCCTCGACCTGGGAGGCCTTGTAATCTGCCCCACATGACTTCTTTGTCACACAAACCTTGAAAAAAATCTGATGTACACAAAATCTATCACACACGGGTAATCACAAGCAAAGAAAGACACCTGTACAGCAGAGAGATACAGTGGCCACCACTTGAGCCAACTCAGTGTCCCTGACATTGGTAACAACGGCTCAGGACAGGCTGAGTGTCTCTCATCTAAAATGCTTGGGACCAGTCAGGCACAGTGGTGCGGGCCTGTAATCTCAGCGACTCAGGAGGCTGAGGCAGGAGGATTGCAAAGCCAGCCTCAGCAATTTAGCAAGGCCTTAAGCAACTCAGTGAGACCCTATCTCTAAACAAAATACAAAAAAGGGCTGGGGTGTGGCTCAGTGATTAAGCACCCCTAGGTTTAATCTCCAGGATCAAAATATAAATATATATATTTTTAAGTGGATGGGGAGCCTGGAGAGGTAGACCAGCAGCAGAGCGCTTGCCTAGCTTATGTGAAGCCCTGGCTTCCTTCCCCAGCACTGGGGAAAAAGTATTGCCATAATTGCAGCTAGAATTCTCACCAGCCACCCCAGGCAACACAGATAGAAACCAGACTCTTCAGACTGTGCCTGACTCAGCCAGTCACTTAGCTCCTCTGGTCACCAACTGGGCCCTGCTGACACCTGAGTCCTTCTGAAGCCCACTCTGCACTCCTAAAGCCCAGATATAAAATGCAATAAACCAGCCAGGCACAGAGGCCACACCTGGAACCCTAGCGGGCTGAGGCAGGAGGATCACAAATTCAGCAACTCAGCAAGACCCTGTACTAAAACTTAAAAAAATCAAAAAGGCTGGGGATGTAGCTGAAGGGTAAAGTACCCCTGGGTTCAATCCCCAACACCCAACAGGGAAATGCAATTAACTAAGGTGTCTCCGTGGGGGCCTGCTGCCCTCTAGTGGCTGAAGGGGATATTGAGAGTGACTTTGGTTGACATTGTGGGGGGGGGGCAGGGACCACAGCAGGTAGAAGATGGAGCAGACCAACAGCGCTGGTTTGTAATACCAAGGACAGTCCGACACACCCACCCCATGTCCTCCAGGACATCTGAACATATTTCCAGAATTCACAGCAGTAACAAACCTGTCTAAAATGACCTGAGCCCAGAACCTAGCCCCGCTTCACATCAACAGTATTTTCCCATAATTTCAACATACACTGAATCTTCAAGGGCTGCAACCACCATGTGAACTGAAAGACAACTAGCTTTTGTTTAGACCAAGAGTTGTTTGATACTGTGAAGAATTCCCTCAACCAGTGCTGCCTGCATGTGGCATTAATGTCACCAGGTCTGCCAGGCTGGGTCAGGCTGCTCCTCGTGGACCCTGTACCCAGGAGTCCACACAGAGGCCCAAGCAACGTTAACATCCATGTATCCCATGAGGCTGTGCTTGAACATTTACAT